TTCCTCAGGAATGGATCAATGGGCTTATTGAGCAGCAGGACTTCTGGGTACACGACTTAATTAAGCGATGTGGCTGGTCTACAGCTAATTAATTAATAAAATTCATGATTCTGATGCCCTGAACGCACGGACTTTTGTCCCCATGTTCGTAACTACTCCCTGGGTGAAGATGACCTTCTGGATCAATTCACCTTCAATTTTTGCGCCGCAATATGGAATGAATAGTATGTATAAAAGCTAAGGATATCTGCAATATATATTCCGCTCATGCCGTTTTTCCTCCACATTCTCGTCCTCTGATCCTCTCTGTAACACCACTAAGTTTATACTTAATGGCATTGTTCTGGGCGAGCTGCACCACGATCTGCTCGTCTGACTCGACCGCAACCAGTAAAGCATCTGCTCTGAAGCAATCATCTTCTAAGTCAATTCCTTCTTGGTAAGTCCTCGTAGCCATTCTTACTATCTTCGCTGCACGATACTAAAATAGTCATTACGTAAACATATGAAGTTAGACCTCGTAGAAGTAATTCAGCCGATGATCCTGAATTACTGCTATTCAATCTTACATTAAAGCTTTCGAGGCATCTGTTTCTTGACGCAACTGATTTGACTGTGTAAAAGCTTTCAATGTGTTTCAGTACTAGTACTGGGGTAGGAAATAAGATTACTATCCATGACTTCCGTATACCTTCATGGTTTCTGCTTTGAAAAGCTCCAAACTCACTAGTGACTACTTCTACGAGGTCTTCTGTCTACAAGGAAGACAGTTGAGTGACGTTGACAGCTTCAACAACATTGCTGCCATAATCGGTCACAAGCAATGTCTTTCCATTCGGGTTAAGCGAGACTTCGCGCGGAAAGATGCCAGTGGGGATCCTTGGAAAGCCTTGTTTTCCGTTCAGAGCAGCGTTGACATCAACTACCGTCAGACCCGAAGTGGCGTTGGAGTAACCGAATCGGTTCGAGTCTGCCGTAACAATATGTCGTCCATGATTGACAAATACAAAGCTGACAGGAGAAGTGCCAACCTGTACGCTTGCGACCAGGGAGTCGGAAGAGTTGCGATAGAGCTTCCCAGTATCGAAGGCTAGAAGCATGTTGCTTTCTCGAGCATTGACCCACACATGCTTGCCGTCTGGCGAGGGTCGCACTCGCACAGGACCGCAGCCTGCATCGACGGTGACAAGTAAAGCTTGAGATGGATTGGTCTTCAGGGTTGCAACATCGAGAACACTCAACGTGCCACTTCCACCAGTGGCCGCACTTTCGCTGGTAACAAATAGCTTAGATCCGTCATGCGAGAGTGCGCTGCCGACGACTTCATGCCCAAGAGCAATGTAACCGACATATGTGCTGGATATGGAGCCGTTACTGGCCCGTTTGACGTGAAAGCTTTCGATCGTTCCAAGGAGTTCTGTGACGTTGTTTCCATCTTCAATGCTCACGAAAACATATTCGTCATCGTGAGAAACGGTGGTTTCTATGGCTGTTGCTCCCGTGTTGCCGCCCATCGTACCAGCAATCGCATCTTCCCCAGAAATCGCTTTTTCGACATCAATGGCGACTGCACCGGTCCCCACAGCTACGTAAACGGTTTTCTTGTCATGGGAAATTGCAAATCCGTTGACACTATCAATCTTTTGGTAGAACGGCGTCGGCATTGGAATGTGGCGAATTACCGTTGGTGTGAATGTTGTCGTGTTTAGGACAGTGACATTCCCTACGACAGACACGAATGCAACGTCTGGTCTAGCGTAGATAACCCCAAATGGGTATTCTGGCACAGAAACATTCGCAGTCTGAACATTGAGTACAGTCTGATTTGGAGCAACGGACTGACAGAGCGGGGCAGAGAGGGCAGCAGTAGCTGTGATGTACCCCGCTGTTGCAATCCAAGAGGCCATAGAAAGAATCATGCTGTGCAAGTCAGTGCTGTTCCGCGAGTCGAATGGTATGCTTACTTGCAGAAGTTCGGAACTCGAAAAGATTCGATTTGAGGATGAACGTTTCAAGCTTTAGGTTCGATTGAATAAACTTAATGATAAATATTGCAGTAAGAAGATGTGTTGAATTGTAGAAGTTGAGTTTTTGATGCAGGTCCTAATCAATCATTACCTGGAAGACACTTATTGTGATGAAGCATATTAAATCTCTTGGCAGTCACTCGACTTTATACTTCGATACTTCCATCGATGATGCTATCGCGAGTGAATAAAAAACCGTTAGAAAACTTCTCTCGTAGTTGCAGGATCTAGTGATGCTACCTCATATCTCAAAACGTGGAGATCGACAGCTTCTGATTGGACCCCTCACGATCGCCAAAAATCTCCGGGTGGCAACTTTACATCAAGGACTAATGTTTTAATGAGGGATTTTGACCCTCACAAGGCTGAGTAAAATGAAGTCCGCCAAGATCTGCAAGTTTTTGCGCGTCTTTAGTGGCACAGCAGACTCAGCCTCAAAGAGCGGCAAGCCGAAAATCTTACCCCCTGAAATAGCCGAGTTTACCGAGTTCTCGTGACCACAACGATCTCTTAGTACCAAAGGAACTTCTGCATGCTTTGAAGATTGAACACAACTGAATGAGTAAAGATCATCGGAGGAGTTGGGATGAAGGTAAATCGAGTTTGTTCATCCTGTGAAATTCGAATATCCCGTCCAAATGTTGAAGCATATGAGGGATAGATTAAAGCTACTCGAGGAAATGCATTTTTAAGCAATGTATGTTACACCGAATCACATCTGCATAATGGTATCAGATATCCATGTCATAAATCTACTATTCTAGCTGTTTTGATCCATAGAAGGCTATTGATTTGAACGATCATGGTCACTGCCACTTATTCTACGCAGCAGAAGATTCATGAATTGGGCACTGGACTCTGTGTAAATTTGATTTATTTCTATATCATTATTGCAACATTAAAATTATGAGAGTTCTAGCCTCTTTACTCATCCCATAAGTTGCCTTCTTAACAGAAACTAGAACTGTGACTGTCAGCTTTGACTTGCAGGCGGCGGGTCCAGGAGTCTGCTCGATATAATTAACCCTTACACAGCCTTTTGGTCCAGGGAACCACACAACCTCGTGACGTACGATCAAGGGATAGACAAGAATTATGCTACGAATGTAAGCTCGGCTCCTGCATTATCTTTGTAACCTCTCGAGCACGATCGCAGGGCCGGGCTCTTCCGATGCTAGCGGTTTTGAAATCTCTCAACAACGAAGATCAAAGATATTCTCTGAGATTGACAACATCTTAGGTGTACAGTCTGAACCAAATTGGCACACGCAATGATGAGCCACAAAGCAGAGCTGGCATTAGATTTTGCATGTCGATCATAATTTTGCTTGAAGCTTCCCTGTAAAGCTGAAAGAAAGAGAGTTACCTACACTATCTCCACGTGGAGGAATGATCATCACCAGAACATGGTGGCTGAGCAGTTTTGGGATGGCGATGGGGACGTTTCACTCAACTAAAGTGAGGTCCTACTGAAGTGTTACTCGTAGGGACAAGAGAAAGGTTGCATGGACGCGCTGGTCGGGAGGGCGGAGTTGATATTAAGCAGATAGATAGGACTTAATTCGAGTTTGGAGGCAACTACGCCTGATACCAGGCCGAAAGATGATGGTGATTGAAAGGACTAACGCTGTAGTACTGAGGGGATCTGGGAGCAAGTTAGCTTTGGACGGAAATGGGTTCTGTTGTCGAACGAGAAGGAGCATGACTGGATTAGCTGGTACTGGCATTTATCACCTCCAAATTTTAAGGATACAGTTCTTCTCTGCATACTTGTTTACATGAGCTGAGCAGTAGAGCTCTTTTGACTGGAGCTTCATGGTTGAAAGATATGTTCGTAATGAACACTTTGAGGATGACTGGCAGGGGACGAGGATGAGTTGTTATTCGCATCTTTTATGTGCTCGCAGATGCTAACCATTTGACACCAGCAGACCAGTGTAGAATTGCGAAAGAAGCTGCCCGCCTGCCAATGCTGAGAATGTATAGTTACTATGAGGAAGAATATGAGAGATTATTCTGTAGGTCGTCCAAGATTGACTTTCAATTGTTGGTTGCGATAGCCCTAAAGATTCGATGAAGATGTTATGACACAATGAATCGGTGGTATGGGAGGATTGACAGCCCTAACCCAGAGTTGTGTCATTGCATATACTCCGAAGTCTACCAGCTTGGCACATTTTTGATAGAGGTCCAGCGATAGAAGGGTGGTAGAATCTTGAAGGTCGAAATTTAGCAAGGCTGCAAAGGAGTTCGAATCCCGGCCAGAGTCATAAGAGGGTGAAATGATCAAAGATCTGAAGAACAAGAAGGGAGAAGAGAAGAGAAGAGACCACCCCTCACTTACTCCTATGTGCCACAGAAAAGACTCATATTTGCTTGTAAGTTGCTGGTCTTGAGATGCCAGTCACTTCCTATGACTTCATCCCACACCATGACTTGAGCCATGCAAATCCTCGTAGAACGAATAAACAGGCATGAACAAGAGGAAATGAGTCGAATTTGGAAGGGAAAAGGCCTTGACATGTCTGCAAAATAATGCTGGGACGAATTTCTTCCAGGAGTCCAGATTATTTCGAGTGAATGAAGATCGAAGAGCTTATCCAAAGACGAAAGAGCGGTAGCTCTGAGTTTCTGTACACATGTGTCCCGGGCTCTCGTGCTTGATCATGCTTGAGCGCTCATTGGCTTGGATAAACAAAAATAACAGGCAATGCAGACATCGTTCTTTCCTGGCACAGCTGCCAAATCGGTTAATGGCCACCTCATTGCCACCTCATTGAACTCGCGTTCTTCGAATGATGTTCGGGAACAGCCCTTCGGGTCCAGCCCTTTCCCAGAACTCTCTCAAACACCCGACAGCAGATTCTCAGCTGCATATAACTCCGACTTTGTTGCAGATCGAGAAAAAGTCGGCGAAATTCAGAGGTCTTGTGATGCCTCTGTTCGGGAAACAGTGCATGATCTTCAAGCCTGTGTTCCCTCAACTATGCTTCTTGTTGGCCATCGTGAATTATTTGTTGCATGTCGTAGAATGTTCGGCTTTCTGTATCTCTCCGAGTGTCGGGTTTATGTCAACGGAGGGTAGAGAAGATTGTCATTCTCCGGGCACTTCGCTGACAACAAAGAGACCAAACCACCACTCATGACTCTCTTTCGACAGTGACAAGACGCCGGACTCTTTCTTCCGCCCAGAGCTCATGAAGGTCCGTCTTGGATAGTAGAATGAAGGGAAGTATTCCCGCTTTCCGCGCGTACTCTACGAGCATCAGGCTCAAACCCATGAAGTGAAAGACTCCGTGAAACTCCGAAATTCTCCATCTCATCCAAGACGCGGATCCCAAGGGAATGTCTTGCGAGTTCGATAGGAGAGAAATTGAGATTGACAGACACACCGCTTTTGTTGGCTTTCATTTGCGTATGAGCAAAGCACCCCGACTGCCGAGACAACTTCTCTTATGTGACAATCCAGTACAATACTGGTGCAGCTGGGAAATATGTTGGTGATGATTGATAGTTGAGACGACTTGCATGATCTCGGAAGCAAGATGCCGCTCGGATTATCCGCCCCTCGACAAAACTTGCTGGTATTCCGAGACGATCGGGCAGCAGTCGGGAAGAGCGGAAGCAACGATGTGCAACAAATAATGAGAAAAGACTGCAAATGACGGCTCAGAAGCTCTTAATTGGTTATAACATTGAAATGGACGGTTATATTCTGCTGCTCACTCTTTGACTACCGCCTAGTAGTAACGTGGCTGGAGGAGAGTGGTTGCAAATGGGAGAATATTCGGATCACTCGTAGTATCGCGTAAAACAGGTGGAGGCAACAGCAACACCATCTGATACTTTCTCCGTAAACATCCAGCCATCATACTGACTACGAGTTGATCTGCTGTGGGAATACCAATTTAGCTCAACTTCCGACTTGGTCAAAGTCACGTGGTGAGGTATCTACGCCTACCCCCTTTTCAAAGCAAGGATTTCCTCTTGCATGAAACTGCCCATTGGTGAAAAGGTGAGCACGAGATATCAAAGCTTGCGATCTACAACCCCGCATAACCCCCAAAACTCAAGATAAGATGTTTCGGCGAGTTTCTTCACAGGCGATTCGCGAGCTCCACTAAATACCAACGTCCAATATGCCGTGAATACGACTGCCGGTCTGAAACGAGCTGCAATGCAGGCGCATGCACATAATCATAAGATCGATTTCCGATGAGATGGACTTTATAAGCCTCGTCAAATTCATTACCAAGACTATCTTCGGTTGTCCCACCTGCCCCTTTCGGCGAGTTTGCAAATGGGGCTTAGAACCATAATGCATTTTCCTGATTGGGACACCACAAGATCTTGAATGGCAGAGCTGACCTTCTTGAACGAATGCGAGATGAATGAGGTATGAGCTATTGAATTTTGTTGCACGTCGCAATTCGCGCCGAATGGTCAAAAAACCCGCCGATATTTTCCAGTTGTTCTCGATCCGGAATTTTCAATATTAAAATCGGAGGTGCTGCATAAATTACAATTACAAAATTCTCAGAGCCGAGGTAACGGAAGAACATAGTGTGATTGTTCTTGCAAACATGTGAAGGTTGTTCTCCAGGTCGTTTTGGTAAATTCATGATCGGATGCCAAGATATGCAGCTCATGTAGAGACACCAAGCTCGTGAGGGTGAAGATTTCCCTCCCAAATGTTCTACAATCAAACATTGTCCTACACTGAAGTCAATCAACGTTTTCACGTGTGGACAAGATAGCCATCGTGAATCGCCACATACCTCAAGAGGCAAAGTTGCGTTCTTCTCAGCGATGCACATGTTTCCAGAAATTGGACAAGGCTTGGTTGAAGAAAGCAAGAGCTTGGTAGTAGACCACCAACTCCTATAACTCTGCGATCTAGAATTCTGTTTTAATACTCGAGAGACACACTTGGGCGGCTGAAGTGCAGACGTCTCGGGAGCAATAACTGCATACTCCATTTATTGTTGCCATTTGTCAGCCAAAGTTGATTCTAGGATAGTGCTTCTAGTACATTCAAGGGACCATTGCCGGCGGACCTTATTATGAGCCTTAGTTGCATATCTCAAGAAGCTTCTGTAAGTATAGATGCTGCTTTTTTTGCTTACAGCAAATACTTGCGATATCTGCTTCTTCTAAGTCAACTGTAAATATTATTGCCTTCTACCTTACAACATACTTACGCGCTGGCATCACGCAATAATGAAGCCAAGATTTCGAATGAGTGTCGTCCGTTTTTCTTAATCTATATCAGAAAGCTGGATTTTGGATTTGATTCATACCAGGTCTTGTATATGCTTCTAGACCTTAATTACACATCGCGCTTCGTTTTTACTTTCAACGTTTCTCCTTCTTCGACATGACTATCTGTGTTTGCTCGGCTACGTCGTTTGTCTATGCCAGCTGACTGCAACTACTTAAATGGTGATGCTAATTTCTACTAAAGTACACACTTTTAGCCGCGTAGCTTTGGTCTGGAGGTTCTAATGTTGCACATCGCATGGTGCTACCGAGGTTCCGAGTGACTAGGCTGACCTGTCATACCAGATGTCAGGTCCGAAAATTAGCTTAGGCGAGTTTCATATGCTAAGAACAAGTTCCCGTTTTTCCTCTCGTTAGATCGTCAGCACCTAGAGTTGGACCAGTTTAAGTTGATGAGACCCTCATATTGGCGTCTTTGTTCTTGTTGACTCGAGTCAATAGGAACTTGAATTGTAATAAAGTTCAAGGGGAAGGATACTCAGGTACTTGTCGATGGATGTTTCAGCTTCATTCGCGACTCGATTTCCAACCTTGTCGACAGCTGTCGAGAAGCGATGTGCAACAAAACTCAATGGTAACAGGTTAAGCACGTGGAATTTTTTTACATATGTTGACTTGACAGAAATTACGAGGGACTATTGCTTCGATTTGCACACCAAGTTGAGCAAGACCACCTGAATAGCTTGATTTCTTTTCTTTCGTAGGGAAGAGTAAAGCCACTTGGTAGCTTCTTAAGTACACACAGTCGAGACTGTGTGTACTTGTCGCTCGAAGATGCGAAGCGGTGGGAATTGAGGTGAAGGTGTTTTATGGGAGAGAAGCTAAGTCAGCCAGAACATTTCGCTCTAGACTGAAGTTTGGCGCGGGGCGATGTGTGTCGCATAATGTTTTACCTGAATGACAGTCACAGGACCAACTTCAGACGACACGAACTGGAGATCATAGTGATCCAACGATAGACGTTGCTTCGGCTCGCACATCCGACAGCCTCACTTGCTCGCCTCGCCCTCGCGTCGGGTCGGGCTCGGCAACGCTAGCGAGCCCCTTTATGCTTTATGCAGGAACTTCACTCCACCTCCACAATTTTGGATCTTTCGTGGCATTCGCGTCGGAACCTCCTTACCAGAGAGAAAGGGACAACAGGCTCGAGTGGATCTCTGTGTCCATGTATTTCAAATGGCCGATCGCTTGTTTACTCGTGGGGATTAGTGGCGGAGGGGTAGCTCTTTGGCTTTCAATGACATTTTGCCTACCCCTCCATTTTCTTTCTTGAAACAACTTTTTAACAAACTTCATTCTGATTTTAAGTAATTCTTTACAGAGTCAAATAATTACTTCCAAATCTCCCAAGATGACGATCACAAACGGTTCCAAGGTTGGAAAGCCATTTCCTCCCGGTGTTCACGTCCCGAGCTTAACATGGTTCAAAGACACCCCAGAGCAGGAAATTGACTGGGAAGTCCAAAAGAAGCATCTCAGCTTCTTGATTGAATCTGGTCTGCATGGAAGTACGTCCGCCCCATTATCTGCATCTTCTTCGCATTACTAATGAGTTTCTAGTCGTCATCGCTGGTACGAACGGTGAAGCAGTGACCCTCAGCTCTTTAGAAAAGGCACAACTGGTAAAGACAACAAGGGAACTTGCGGTCCAACTCGGTCGTCCAGATTTGACTGTCATCTTGGGCTGTGGCGGAGGATCAACACAACAAGTCATAGCAGAGACGAGGTTGGCGAAAGAATCGGGTGCTGATTTTGCACTGGTTTTGGTTCCAAGTTATTTCCATTTTGCTATAAATGAAGATGCTATCATTGCATTTTTCGACGAGGTTCGTACTCACTTTTATGTTGTATATGGGAAGTTCCTATTGATTAATTTGATATCACAGCTTGCATCTGCGAGTCCCATCCCGGTTTTGATCTACAACTTCCCAGGCGTGTCTTCAGGACTTGATTGCAATTCAGAGATCCTCGAGAAATTGGGCCACCACCCAAATATCGTAGGTGTCAAGTTGACGTGCGGTGGCATTGCGAAGGTAGCTCGTGTTCGGTCTCGATTTGCACCAGAAACTTTCTGTGCACTGGCTGGACAGAGTGATTGGTTATTGCCCGCAATCTCATGTGGTGGCACCGGCACCATTACTGGACTTGCGAATATTTATCCAAGAGTAAGTGTCCATTCCATCTCTAGAGGCGGTGTATCGCTGACAAATATGCAGGCATGCATAGAGCTGTACAATCTTGCTGGGGGTGGAAGCAAAGAAGCAGAGCAAGCTCAAATTGATCTCGCAGCTGTAGAATGGGGATTTGCGAAGGGCGGAATCAATGGGACGAAATGGGTGGTGGCAAAGTATTTGGGATATCCTGAGGCGAGCTGTCATACTCGACGTCCATATCCGCGATATAGCGATGCGAAGAAGCAGGCATGGATTTTGGAGACGATGAGACCTTTGGAAGCGAAGGAGAAGGCTTTGAAGAAAATTGCATGAGCGTAAGGAAATAGGGGAATGGTACAGGCGTTGGGAATAAGCACTAAACTCAGAGATGCTATTGCTGCCGTCATTAATAATGACGAGCCTTTTCGCGCCTTCATGTTCAGTGAATGATGCAGTGAGATCTAGCCTGTTGACGCTATAAATATAGGGATGAAGACCTTAAAGAGGAGCCTGGCTGCACGAGCCAATTCAGGCTAGTACCCTAACCGTTTACAGCCTAGTCCCCCACACCCCACTCTCCGCCCTCGATTTTTCTCCCCTGATCTTCATTTTGCCTTGCTAACTCACTCACCCATCCACCAACCACAGCGTTGTCCAGCGGGAAGCTAGAGATGGTATGGCCTCAGTCACTCACTCTTCACCCGGAGACCCCAGCTCAGGGTCCGGATCCAACGTGAATCGTCGTCCTCCAAGGTCGAAGCAGGGTTGTTTGACATGTCGGAAAGTCTATCAACCAAGAAGGTTCTAAAGTCCCTACTGCTAACAACATATACAGACGTCGGAAAGTACGTTGTAACGAACAGAAACCACGATGTTCTCATTGCGAGCGTCTCAACCTCCAATGCAGTTGGAGACCAGTCACGAGTTCGAGCATAAACCAGATGCCAAGACAGCCGTCTGAAAACGGCAATCATAGACAGACGGATATCAACTCTGGGACTATCAATGAAAGTCTTTCGATGACGGCGGGCGCAGTTGATTTGAGCCAAATGAGACAGCCTGTGGATGGCTCGTTCAACGACATGTTCGACTATGCAAGTTTTATGTGGGATCATGAATTGGAAAATGGGACTATGCAGCCAAATCGCTGGCGAGACCTGGGATTTACAGATATGGATGTTCTGAGGCAAAGAGATGAAGTGGTATGTAACCAAACGCTGCCGTACAAGTAGCTCCTCCATAATATGAAGATACTCTCCTGACTCTTACCAAGGAAGAAACAAACTCCATGAATTCCTCGTTTCTACCAAATGGTCAGAACATGAACTTTCGAGATCAAATCTCTTCTCTGGATCCTGCAGAGCTCTCGGCAAGTCGAAGAACCGGATTTGAGTCCTCAGACTCTAATGGGAATGCCTTCGAAGAGCGGATGCTGAAAGATTACTTCGTCCGTACCGTGGTTCCACCCATTATCGCGCAAGTCGAAACTCAGTTCAGGTGGGCTTCCATGAGACAGCTCTTAATTTCAATGTCAGCTAGCTCTGCAATGGTACATTACGCAATTTTGGCCTTCTCAGAGCTTCTCCTTGGCCGAAAGTCCTACACCCAGGCGCCAAAATACCAGAAGTGGTATGATAGTGCTAGGCTCGAACTTTCCCGACAGAGGACTGAGGGGATCTTCTCAGGTGCGAGCCCGTCATCGACAATATTTGAGCATATGCTTGCAGCTTTGTTCTTTCTAAGCTACATCGATCTACTCGAAGGCAGGATTGTTGATGCACATGCAAATTTAAAAGAAGCATACGAGGCTTTTCAAGTGGCAGACAAGTCTCAACTGCGAATGGTCAGCAAACGTCTTATCTCATGGATGCGACTTTTAGATGCTCGAGCCGTGACTGCTGGCGGCGAGGGTCTCTTTCTTTTGGACAACGATGATATTGTTGCTCAGCCATCACCAGCAAGCACTGACATGACCGAGTCTGGAGGCAATAGCAATGATATTGGAGAGGCTAATGTTGAGGATGTTCTCTTTGACACCCTCTACCAACCCGGCTTCTTTTTTTTCCAACGAATACAATCATTCATGGGCCGCATATCAAAGATAGATCCCTGGCATCGCTCACGAGGGACTGTGGAAGATGAGACAGAGGTCATGAGTATTGCTGCCAAGATCTCTCGTGACCTTGGCACACTCTGGGAATCTCGGCCACCACTTATGGACTATGCCTTGAACGGGAACCTCACGTCGGCTCACATTTCTCGTAGCCTAGTCTTCACCATCACGAGAACATTTCGCACTTACTTTGCGAACTACAATGCATCAAAGATCCACCTACATCGCGTCGCTTACAAGCATCTGCCACTATCGGCTGACACCGAGCAAGCGATTTCCAACATTCGAGACACAGCTCGCTTGATGGTGGAAGTTGGTGCCGCGTCAGGGCCAGAACAAGAAATGCTCCCAGTAAACATGCTTTGGCCTCTGCTGATGTGGGGTACTGAGGAGAATGATCCCGAGGCGAGGGACTGGATTATTGTGCAAATTAATAATATGGAACAGGTGGCTACTAATGCAAAGATCACGGCTCAAGTGCTGCAAGAGGTCCAGAAGAGGCAAGATGTCTCGAAGCAGCGAGTTGATGTGCGGACGGTCATGCATGTAAGTTTTCCTCTCATGTGACTCTTCAGTCTCACTATGGAGGGTTAGGCGTCTAGTGATGCTTCATCATACATTTCTTCACACCCCTCAGTAGCCAAAGCAGAAAGGGCTTTCCTTGAATTACAACGCTAACTTGTCGGGCAGGATATATTCAACTCGTGCTTTGCCATCGTCTGAACCGCGCCTAGAGGAATGCAATACCTAGCTAGTCATCCACGATCTGGAGACCCCGAAGAAGCCATCCCTGGAACATATCCGTGTCAGTCAATAAAAGTAAGGGAGGATCCTTGAGGCTGGTCCAAACAGCCGATGCGACGCGAGATGACCCTATTATGGGAAGTTGACTCCATTATCTGAGCATCGATGTCAACGAGAGCAATTGAAGAAGCCCGAGCATGCTGTTAGAAGGGAATTGTAACTCCGCATGTTCCGCCCGTTCTCTCCAGACACCCTTGTCTCCTTACGCTCGCAGCACCTCCAAGATGTCAGCTGACCCGGAGCCCTTACCTCTTCCCGTCATAGCCGTGATTGGGTCTCTCAACGCAGACCTCACAACATACACATCACGAATACCATCTGGCGGCGAGACATTACACGCAAATTCATTCAAAGTTGGCTCGGGAGGAAAGGGTGGCAATCAAACATGTGCCTGCGCGAAGTTGTCTCGGACATCTAAAGATATTCAAAATGGATCTGCGATAATCAAGATATTTGGAGCTGTAGGAAATGATGCACATGGCTCCATGATCCTTCACGACTTACAGGCTTCCGGCGTCGATACATCAGGAGTTTCAATGAAAGACGGCGTCGAAACTGGCGTTGCAGTAATCCTAGTGGAAGAAGAGTCAGGCGAGAACCGCATCTTGCTCAGTGCTGGTGCCAACTATTCTCTACAACCTTCACAATTCTCATTACTTCCATTACCATTACCATCTCTGATCATTCTCCAGCTCGAGATACCGGTTCCGACGACGTTAGAGATTCTGCGAACGGCGAGAACTCAGAACATGGAAGTCTTGCTCAACCCAGCGCCTGCAATACCACTTCCCGAGGAAGCTTATGTTGGACTGGCCCATTTGGTTGTGAACGAGACAGAAGCAGTAATTCTATCAGGCTGCAGCCCTGGAGATATCGAGGATGAGAAAAAGCTGCCAGATGTGGCAAGAATCTTTCACGGTCGAGGAGTAAAGAATGTTATCATTACTTTGGGCGGGAGAGGAGTATTCTTTTCCAGTGGAGAAGGAAACAATGGCTTGCTTAAAGCGAGGAAAGTGGAGGTTGTTGATACTACAGCTGCAGGAGATACCTTCGTGGGAGCGTATGCGTTGGAGGTTGTCAAGGGAGAGTTTGATATCAAGAGCGCGGTTGAGAGGGCGAATATGGCTGCTGCAAAGACTATTGGGAAGAGAGGAGCGCAGAGCTCGATTCCTTGGGCTGATGAGCTGGACAGTAGTTGAGTGTCAATGTGGGAAAGAATCTGAATGTCACAGTACATAACAGAGTTGTGTGGTTTGGCCTTAATATGTGCTGGAATATTAACTTGTTTGCTACCCGTTTCACGCTTGTATTTATTCATAAATTCTACACTAATGTCCTTGAAGGACAAATCTTGCTTGAGGACTCGTCGCATTGTCTTTTGTGTTCTGACATTCTGGCGACTGATACATATTCGAAGCACGAAGGGACTTGGAGTCTTCGTTGCTCTAGAACGTTGTGGGGGCAGGCTGACCATTTTCTTCCCATTACCTGATATCACTCTACAATATTCAATGTTTCTTGCATCCTCCAGTCTCGTAATTCACCACCTGACATCCAACGACTCCACAGCCCCTATCCCCAAACCACTTAGCCTAAGCGACGAAGCGACCCGACCTTCTCCCGACCCTTCAGAACGCGACGCGACCCGACACCAACCGACCAAGTCTCCATCACAATTGGGTGGGATCCCCGGCCTTCCCAGCAATGCGTCCTCTTCTCCACCCCACAGTCCCCATTCCCCAAATCCCCACATCCCAGGACCAACGTGCTGGGTGCCCCAGCGCCAAGCCGTGCATGAGGAGACTTCATTTATATAATAGAGACGCGATGTTCCTTTCTTTTCTTTTGCTACTACCGGTCTCGTGGAATCTTGTTTAGTGCTTTTCCAAAGTTTGGGATCGACGTTGTCGTCGGTCTTTTGTTGGTTAATATGGTTCAGACGCTCGATGGGTATACGATGGGTGTGGCGGCTTTTGCTGCTATTGGGACTTTTCTGTTTGTATGTGTAATGCAAGTTGATGGAAGAGAGTGTGTTGATGGTGTTGGTATAGGGATTCGATTCGGGTATCGTGACGACGACTATCGCGCATCAGAGTTGGAAGGATTATTTCAACCATCCTACGACGGCTCAAACCGGCGCAGTAAGCTCCCTTGCCTCCCCTCTCTGCGGAAGACAGCTGGACTGACATGAGATAGGTGGTAGCAACATACATCGCTGGTGAATGCGTCGGTGGAATTTTCCAGATTTTCGCTGGTGATAGACTCGGTCGACTCAGACTCATGCAACTCATGTGCATCATCGTCACAATAGGCACTGTTCTTCAAACTGCGTCTGTGAATTTTGGAATGTTCCTTGCCGGTCGGATTTTTGCTGGTATGGCAGTCGGGTGAGTACTTGCTGTACTTCGACAAGGATTAAAGTTGTGCTGATAAGTGATAAAGAGGACTCATTGGAACCGTTCCTGTGTATCTTAGTGAGATATCAGCTCCGCATCATAGAGGTCTTATTGGAGGTATTTCAGGTTGTGGTATCTCTTTTGGCACCATGAGTAAGTGATCCCTTTGATTGCTCCGCAGAACTCATGATGCTAATTGACCACAGTGAGCAACTGGGTCGGATTCGCATGCAGCTACGCCCCCTACGGAGCAACACAATGGCGCCTGCCTCTCGGTCTCCAGATTCCCTTTGGCATCATCCTCTTCATCGGTCTCCTAACCTTCATGCCCGACTCCCCTCGCCAACTTGTCCGAGATGGCCAAATCGAAAAGGCTCGTCGCGAGTTCATTAAGATTCGAAGAGACCTCAATGCAGATGAGGTGCATCAAGAGTTCGCGTTCATGCAGACGCAGATTGAGTATGAGATGCAGAGGGAGATCAAGAGTTACAGAGAGATTTGGAGGTTGTTCAAGCACCGGGTATTGGTTGCTGTTGGGGTTCAGACGATGACTTCTCTTACTGGGACGAATGTTATTTCGTACTATCAAAGTGAGAAAAGCCCTTCTCTGTCTCGGGATCGCAAGCTAATGCAGGTGCAGCGATCTTGTATAAGTCCCTGGGTATAAGTTCGACGACGATCCTCTGCTTGGCAGCTGTTTATGGCACTGTTGGATTTCTTTGCAATTGTCTCACCTCAGCTTTCTTGACTGATCAGTGGGGTCGTCGCAAGTATGTTCCCTTCTCATCTACATCAAGCCTCGAACTAAATAAATTTTAGGATGCTCATCTCCGGCCTAGCTGGAATCGTCATCGTCGAAATCTACGCTGCCATCATGCAAATGAAATTCCAAAACACAGAAAACTCAGTCGGAAAAGCCTTCGCTGTCCTCGGCATCTACCTCTTTGCTGTCGTATACTGTAAGTTTCCTTCCCTTCTCCTTCCCTTACCCTCACACCAACTAACATCACAAAGACGGCATGATCAACAGCACAACCTGGACCTACGGCGCCGAAATCCTGCCCATCGCCCTACGCTCCAGAGTAATGGGTCTCGGCGCGCTCGGCCACTTCGTCGTCAACGTCGCCATCACCGAAGCCGGCCCGACAGCCTTCGCCAAGATCAAACAGAACTATTACTACGTGTTTGTAAGCTGTTCGTTTTTCTTCTTGGTGATGGCGTACTTCTTTTTCCCGGAGACGAAGCAGAGAAGTTTGGAGGAGATTGCGGCTGCGTTTGGGGATAAGGTTGTTTTGCCAGATGAGAATGGGGTGGCGGTTGAGGAGGCGATTTTTAGGGATAAGGGGGATAGTGAGGAAGTTGAAGTTGTGAGGGAGAGGGTTTGATGAAGAATATAGAGTGATTGAATGCAAGCTTTTACTGAATATGCTTTGTCTGCGAAATGATGTGTTTTTAAAAGGTATCTCAATCTCCTCCAGAAAGGAAGTCCCCTGTAGCCTGGTTGCTTCAGGCTAGTGTTAGCCTGAACTTTAGCGATACCTCAGCGTCGGATTCCATTTCAGAGGCGAAACCTTTTCTCTTTCTCTTCATACGAATTAGACTTCAAGGTCAGCTCAGATTGTATCCTCGTGGGCGATACTGTGTGAAACCCTGCGTCTTATATCGTCGAGTCGATAAGTCGAGCCATTGATGGTAACAATTCCGAGACCCTGCATGCTCTCACCGAAGCCGCGCGAGGCACAGCACCTAGAAGATCCTACAAGCCGATAATGTACCACAATGGACGCCACAACTTTACATCGCTGACCATGCGTGATCCTTCAAGTGAGGGGTCATCAAATCTCAAGAGAAGGCGACGAATCAAGAGTTGTGGATAAGTGTCTCAAGATCCAACTCGTTGCTGTCATTATCTGAGACGTTTTCAGCCACCGTATCTGCACAGCTACGAAAATGGAACATGCTGGGCTTTCACGTGTTGAGTTGTCAATCGTGTTTGTCCTTTCGGCGTTGTTTCGGTGTACCAATTGCCTTGAGGCGTCCTGCGGCAAGGAATGATCATGGCGGCGTGAGGCTCTATAGTAGGTAAGGTGTTTTTGAACGACAGCCTCAACAATGTGTTTGATTCTTACATGAATACATCCTTTTAACTTATTTCCTGAAACTTATATTCGCAAAACGAAATTCATATCTTGTTGCAACTTCGAGACTTAAAGGTTGCTTATAATTGTGTTGCATGAAGAGCAGAACCACAGCCTCGTGCTCTGTCGCTAGGCTACAGCCCAACGAGGCTCGAGTACATTCCTGAGCTCAAACCACTGCAATCCAGATTTTGGATCAAACGATGGGTTCCTCACTATCCAAGGTCTTCGGCCGAAAAGATGTAACAGATGAAACCTATCACAACAACCCCCAGTCAACCAAAACTGTGCGTGAGCGACTCGTTGAAACTAGATGGAAGCATACAGCCTCGATAGGCAGTGAGGGAGATGAGGTACGAGTTGTGCCTTACCATCCTCAAGTCAACGGTTCCGATGAGTACTACGATGATGAGGAGATGATTCAATTCATATCGACTCTCTCCTTGGTTGAATACAATCAACCTCCCCCGAAAGCCGTTCCAGCGCAGCCTGGCACTCCTGATCCCTTCCGAGAATTCTTCCTCCAGCTTCAAGCGCATGCAACGCCAGGACTTTCTAGCTGGGGGAAGAGTCCAGCCAAGGGCAAGATTCCAGGCTTGAGAAAGGACGACACAGCAAAGAAGCAAGAGTGTGTCATCTGCGTGGAAGAGAAACCTCTTCAACACTTCCCCAAAATCACAGATTCATGTCAACACCCAGATCAAATATGCCTAGTATGCGTGCAGAACTGGCTGGCACGCGAAGCAGATAATACAGACTGGGACAAGATACATTGCGTGGCCTGCAAAGAAATTGTTCCCTACAACCATATGAAGAGACTAATGACAAAAGCCGCATTCGAGAAGTGAGCTCCCCTTCATCTGTCAATATTCATACTGACTTCGCGTACTTGCAGGTACGACCAATATTCCCGCAACGCAACCTTGAGCAAGATGCCCAATTTTCGCTGGTGTATATCATCATCCTGCTCTTCTGGCCAGATCCACGAAATCGACACTGATGGATACATCTTCTATTGCGGAGCATGCTATACCAAAACTTGCGTTATTCACAATGTCCCTTGGCATGAAGGAGAAACTTGCACAGAGTATGACTACAGGCAAGATCCGAAGGTGAAAGCGGCGGAGGAACGAGCTTCCAAGATTGAGATTAAGGGAAGTTCGAAACCGTGTCCGGGACCAGGGTGTAAGGTTAATATTACGAGGAATGGAGGTTGTGAACACATGAAATGTGAGCTTATTTTCGAGTTGTGGGATGCGAGGGTGAATGAGAATGCTGATAGTAGACAGGTACGAGATGTAATTATGAGTTCTGTTGGCAGTGTTTGGCGGATTTCGATCAGATTCGGAAGAATGGGAATTCGTTCCATGAGAAGAGTTGCAAGTTGCACTCGGAGAATTTGCCAGATCATTAGCATCATTCATTACTGGTAGAGGTATGGGTTTCTTGTTTGAGCATTCGCTATCTCATGGGTAGACGAAAGTAGATGGCGATTATAACAGATGCGAACATTCAAGCGGCCATAGAGTCAGTCAGATATCTGCACTTTGCGCACGGTGAGAGCCTTGGGCGCGGTCTGCGCTGAATGCGCTGTACGCGCTACATGCGCATTTTGCGGGTGAAGGTTGGGATCGTCAAAAATAGGGTGCATGCATAAGGCCAAGGCTGAGAGGTATAGGTGGCTTTGGAATGAGTTCCGTTAATTATCCTACATTAAGCAGCTCTAGATTCTTAGTTTGGTTAATCGTTTTGAACGTCAAATGATAGCAGAGTCAAGAAAAGAATATATTCACGTGACCAGGCTAGCATAAATCGAGGTATCTAATCAATTCTGATGACTTCGGGATTTTAACTTCGTCGTTATTTACTGAATGGTCTTTTTTGATTCATTGCTAAAGTCACGGCTGCCATATCCCGTCATTGAGAGCTACTTCATACCCGTTCACGTGACTTGCTATTGAAGGAAGCTCCTGCATGTTTCAGGCCACAAATTGCTTAGCGCTTACCTTTTCTCCTATCAAGCTTCACTCTCTGCTAAACTTTTATCATCGACTCCTATTTCCCACATCAAAACCTACTTCGTATAAAGAAGTTCCTCCTGAAAATGATCTGCAAAGAATGCGAACGTCTAAACGTCGAGGATTTATTTCAGCAAGCACACAACTCTCCTGCGCATATCATACTGCACTCATCCTATGAGCTTCTCGAAACAGCAGCCAAGAATGGCTGTGACACTTGTCGAACATTCTATAATCACTTCAATGGCAATTTCAAAGACCTGAAGAAGAAGCTGTCTGAGCTCGAAAATGATGGCTCAGCCTTGCCAATCGTCGTCTTCCTTCAGATGGCATTCTCGCAGCAGAATGGGAAAAGACCAATCGTCAAACTTCATGTCCAGATTGGCGACCAGCCTGATAGACCAGGTGTCGAGCAGATGAAGATCTCATTTCGTGTTTCTTTGTCTTGGGCTGCGAGTATGGTTGACATACCCCTAGTTGGAATCTACGTGCTAAAGGTAATTCTAGGTCTGGAAAAAGAGACTAGACAAGCAGCATTTGAACTTCGATATATCGAGATTGACCATGATCTGGGCTCGGACCAGAATTTTGGTATCGCTCAAGGCTGGATTCGAAATTGTTGCAATGATCATGACCCCGCCATTTGCCCCGCATTGCGGGATGTCAACCTTCCAACGAGACTCATTTACGTTGGACCTCCTGACAATCATGACCAACTACGTCTGATACAGACCTCCAAGACCGAGAAAGGACGGTACTTGGCTCTGTCGCATTGTTGGGGTCCTCCAGGAACGAAGAAATTACTTACCACCACGGAAACCCTTGAGTCTCGCTTGGCATCTATCGACCAAAGCGAAATGCCAGCAAATTTCTCTGATGCAGTAATCATTACTCGAAGACTTGGATATAGATACCTATGGATCGACTCATTATGCATTATTCAGGATTCCAAGACGGACTGGGAAACGGAAAGTCAGAACATGGGTAACATTTACACCAATGCTGCTATAACACTGGCCGCTGCGGCTGCGACGAGTGGTGAGGGTGGTATGCTCACCAAAGGCTATCAACCTGTCTCAAATGATAAACTGAATCCGAAGAACTGGTTCCTGACAGACTCCATTGGAAGATCGCACGTTGCATTTGCTCAGGATAATTCCCAATCTGGAATTGCTCAAGCGAAGTCCGTCCTTTCATCTTGCCGCATAAAACTCAACTCAGACGACGAAGCACAAAGCATCATCCTAGACCCCCTGACAGAGTTTTCTGACTTGGAAGAAAATTGGTTCCGTTGTACAGTCTTGGGACCATTGGCACTTCGAGGATGGTGCCTTCAAGAAAAGCTTTTGTCACGACAAATCCTATATTATGGGAATCGCCAAATCTATTGGCAATGCGCGTCAGCTCGTAAAGCTGCAGACGGGGAAGATGTTCCAGCTTCAGCAGCAAGATCCGAAGCCAACATCGGAAACGAAGTATCAGATTGGCCAGATATTCTCTCTTTGAGAGAACTCCATCAACAAGCTGTGGATTCTGGCTCCCTAGAGAAGCGTGAAGCTGTGGAAATCAAAATTTACAAGACGTGGCATAATGTCCTTTTCCTGTTCATTAATCGCCGCCTCACTTACGACTCGGACCGACTTCCTGGGTTAGCCGGTATGGCAACACTGATTCATGAACTCACTGATGATCGCTATGTCGCCGGCTTTTGGTTGAAGTACCTCCCGGTAAGTCTGCTCTGGACACAGACCAAGTCAGTACTCCGGGAAGACGCCCCTCGATTTATTGCCGATCGATACGAACTCGAGAAACCGGAATGGGAAAAGAAGGACTCAAAACATACGGGTCCCAGTTGGAGTTGGTGTTCAGCGAATATCAATGATGTTCTCGATTTCTGGGCTGATCATAACGAGGAGTATCGAACGAGATTCTGGCGTCAACAAGATGTAGAGATCGTAGATGTTAACGTAGATCTGGTGGGCGAGAATCCTTTTGGACAAGTGAAATCTGGAGAGCTTGTTCTGAAGGGGTATACATATCCGAGATGGGATGTTCGATGTCTTGACCAGGGACCGCTTGGGGGCTTAAGGGTATACAGCTCTTTGATTCTAGGGTTCTGTCCGCATAGTCCATGGAACAGAGATCGAGGGAACGATTCTGGGTGTGAAGATCGAGCGGTGCTGTGGGATTATTGGCCGAGACAAGCAATGTCGCCTCCTGTCAGGACATGGAAACATATTCTGCGCTGGTTGGTTGAGCTTTTCACTCTTCTACTGTGGCAGGGTCTTTCAGGATTCAGTCGCGAGAGAGGGAGAACGGATTGTGGTGCTTGTAATGAGTATTTATGCATGCATATTCTATCTCTCGTGGAGAAAAGAGCAGGGAAAGATGGAATGTACGAGGCTGATCTTTACTCGTTGGTGCTCGAGCCAGTGCCTGGTGATAAGGAGAAATACCGGCGGATTGGCATGGCGAGGAAGGGAACGTATGTCACGGAAGATGAGTTCTTAGCTTCGAAGACCCTAGACACGAATGAGAGAAGGCTTCCTAAGATCTTCAGTGAGTGGAAATGTCAAGAGGTTGTGGTCATTTGAATAGCATGGCAATTGCCTTAGAGAACCAGGTCCACAACGCATTTGCCTCACTGAAGGAGCGAGACTATGATTTGTGTCAAATCAGAACAAATATTACTTTTCTGATCTATTCAATTTGATCCAGAGATCAAGAGTGATAAGTAACACTAAAGATCTGGAACGCAGCTTGCTCAAGAGTCGTTGCAACGGCCCCGTTACCCTCGATATTCAGCGCCAAAGTTCCACCAGGCTTCATTGTATAGCCTTGACCATTCCCAAAATCGGTAATAGCAAACGTCTCAGCAAGTGCTTCCTCACTCGTAAGTCCTTGTAAATAAGAAATATATCTGCCATCAACAGCACTTGTAATTTGGAAGGTATTCCCCGAATACAAGTCTCCAACCTGATGCAGAACCCATCTCTGGTTAATACTATCATGGCCGGAGTGGTCTTTGAGCTCGTCACGAACGGGGCAATCTTCCCAGTATTTGTCAAAGCGTAGCCATTGATCTCGAATGTCAAGTAACGACCTTCTGTCAAGGAACCTCGCACTTGCTTGAATCCATTGTCGACGAGGGAACTCATGTCTTAGTTCGCATTCTCTGATCCGTACGGGACGGGAGGTTGAGCAGTCGGGTAATCAGCTTGGCATTTTGCTGCTCCGATATAATCACCGCTGAGAGCACCAATGATACCATCTGAAGGCACGGATTCCGAAGGATCTGTAAGAGGTGCTATGGTTGAGTGGATGTGGGGGATGGAATATTTAGGCTAGGCGATGATTAGCGAGAAACAAAGTGTGAGCAAATGACTTACATTGTTAAAATCGAAAGCATTCACAAGATTCGACATGTGTTGCCGGCGCCAAGGAGGAAGTTCCTTGCTCTGGACGTTGTCATAGCCGAGAGCTTCGAGCCATTGCTCTAGGAACATGATTTGAGAATTGTGATCGGCGTGCTCGGTGAACACATGACCTCCTCGTGTCCATGGAGAAATGATGTAGAAGGGAAGACGGAATCCTGGTCCAACTGGGGTGTCTCCAGCTTCGCCGTAGGGGTCATTGATCCATTCTCCTGGGGTATCTTTGGGAGCGTGGAACGGAGTGACGTGATCACCATAGCCTCCGACCTCTGCCATGCCAGTGAGCAACACGCCCAGCAGGAATTGAGCCACTTACCGTCGTAGCTGATCATAAGGACTGTCTCCTTGTAAAGAGGACTGCTAGTAACAGCATCGACGACCTTCTTCTGTAACCACGCTCCATCACTTGGCAAGTAAGGATAATGCTCCGAAAGTTCAGGAGGCCCAACAATATAGCTGACCTGAGGCAAGGTCCCAGCTGCGGCATCAGCATAGAACTTGTCGAGTCCGAGATAAGAATTTCCTTTGGTAGTCAAAGGGGAGCTATTGCTCGCTGCTTGGTATTGTTGGAAATATGCTAGCATGTTATCTTCGAAGTTATCGACAGGTTGATACACTTGCCAGGAAACGCCGGCGTCTTGCCAGTATTCGGGAATAGTCTTCCACGTGAACGGGTAGCAGTTTAGGTGCGGCTTCTCACAGCCTAGGCTCTTAGTTCTACTTTCTTGTAAGTCGTTAAGTGTACTCACCTGGTGTGGCCGAGTTGTCGAGAATCATTCCTCCGTCCCCATTTGGATTGTTTGGTGTTCCTGGATTGTTGACAGTACCACTCATCCAAATGATACGATTGGGGTCTGTTGCTGCAAGAATGCCCTCCTGACAATAGTTGTCAATTGAGCATCTTATCAAAGCTACGATCACAACTCACCTGGTACATATCCCCTACAGTCCAACCTTCGGCGATATCGAAGTGTGTTGGAATATCACTTCGCTTGAAGTAGCCGATGCTGTACGGAGTGTTTGTCGCTGCCCATTGATTCGTAAGACCGTCATTGTATGCTGCATGCATTGCTTGCCAACTGTTTGATCCTGCTCCAATACATTGTGTTGCTTCGAGCCAATCTCCTCCGAGGTAATTAATGTACCACGGCTGCAGGATATCGCTTGCATTTGTTAAGGCTGGAGTGACAAGTCTGTAAATATTTAAGTTAGTTTCCATACTGCGAGAAACCAAGCATGCAACTAATAGCGTGTACTCACTGTTGGAATGTTGTCTTGCCATCAGGGTTAACTTGGACGTTTGGGTCGGCGAAGCCTCGGACACCAGGCATTGTTCCAAAGTACTGTCCACAATTAGAATCGCAAAACGACAATCTCGCAGGAGGCTCGTACGTGATCGAAAGCCCTGTTCTCTTGCATAAAAAGAACTACATGCTTGATGTCTTTAATTGAGCCTGCAAAAGCAGTACCCAAGCATAAAGCCGTGACCGCTACAGAAGCAGAGTATCCCATCTTGATAAAATCTGAGCGCTGATACGCATAATGATAGCAAGGGAGTGTTCCCCGATGTTTATATATCATCCCATCTTTTGTCGGATCTACAATCCCAGCGCAACGTCCCGATCGCCATACCCTAACAGGTAAGCATAATTCTAGCGTGCTATAGAAGCAAAAAATTCTCTCTTGCAGCATGTGCAACCTTCCAACACCGGGTGGGCGATACCTGAACAATATCTCGAGAGCGAATAAGATATGAGGGAATTCCCACGGGCAGAAGTAAGCAATGCTTCTAAGCTTTTGGCCCCGCGTTGATGCCTGCAGAGTTCGACCTTTTTATTCATGGCTTTTCAAGGACCCTGAACCCCTCCATATTCCCCACCACGTGTAGTACCGCGTGCTGATCTTTCGCCAAGAGGACAGGATGTTGCGTTCCGCAGCAAGAGGTGTTGTCGGCCAGCCAAAGCTGGATGCAGATCGATTGCTGAACCGAGAACCCTAGGAGGCCGCTGTACTTGGACTCTTCAGGCAGGTGCCGAGAATGCCGCCCGCAGCATCTCATTTTCAGAAATCCGAATCTACTCACTCTCCATTCCAAATGAATCAACTATTGCTGTAACTTCGGGGTCGAGATATAAGCAAGACCACGGATGTTCTTTCCTACGAGGAGAGCAGTCTGTTACTCAGTCACCGTTGTCGTACTGGTGATTGGTATTTATACATGGCTAAATATAGGACCGTACCATGATGTCCTTCGGATACCTCAATACAACCTGGAACAGGCTGCAGCCGGCTTAGACCACGAAAGAGCAAACCTTGCGATAGTGTTGAGGCCAGAAGAACATGTGGAACGAGAGCCCAAGACTGTCGAATACAGGTGGAACATTACGACAGGTGTGCGAGCTCCAGATGGAGTGACCAAGCAGGTCTATCTCATCAATGGTTTGCGTACTGACAATGAGAGTTCGCTTTGCTTGCTGATAGCTTTCCTAGGAGAATTTCCAGGTCCTTTAGTTGAGGCTAAGTCCGGCGATGAGCTTGTTATTGAAGTTTACAATGGACTCGAAGTTGAAGGCACTGCCATCCATTGGCATGGGCTTAAGATGCAGAGTACGTTAAAAATGTAAAACCATTTTCTTGACGAATTTTAACAACGGTGAATAGACATGAACAATATGGATGGTGTTGTCGGGTTGACTCAGTCGCCAATTCTGCCAGGCGAGAGCTTCACTTACAAGTTTACGATATTAGAGGAACAGGCCGGAACTTTCTGGTAAGTGAATACGCACACTGTTTAGATGTCCAACTCACTTTAACCCCAGGTATCACGCACACTCAGAACTCCAACGCGCCGATGGTCTTTATGGCCCTCTGATAGTGCACGAACGACTGAACACTGCGAATGCAGAGTCAAGAAATTTTGAGTATGATGAAGATCTTGCTCTCATGGTGGGAGATTGGTATCATCGATCAACTAGTCAAGTCCAAGACTACTACACAGACTGGACCAATTTCGGCAATGAAGTAAAGTCATCTGTTCCGGTAGATAGACCACCACTGACCTCAAGTAGCCAGCACCTGACTCTATGCTGCTGAATGGCAAAGGAAAGTTTGAATGCTCTATGGCTGTACGAGCTCGCCCGTTGGATTGCAAGGAGGTGGCTATGCCAAAGCTTCAGATGAATGGCAGACGTACTAGGTTGCGTATAATTAATACTGGGTAAGCCTCGACTCCCATTTGTAAAGCTTCTCTGCTGACTTGGACGCCTGAAGAGCACTTACTGGCTTTACTATGTCAATGAGCGGATATACGATGACAGTCATCACGCTGGATGGTGGGAATGAAGTAGCATCGGCACCAGCGGCAAGCTCGGTCGGCGTACTTTATCCAGGAGAGCGGATGGATGTCATCATCGAGAAGGTCGAAACGGAGAACGAAAAGGAGGCAATCATGACTATAAAGCTGGACAAGGAGAATCTGAAGTTCAAGAACTTCGCTTTGACGCCAATCCAACATTTTCCAATCTCTGCAACTGGGCTATCTGATCAGATGGGCGGATATCAAGCCTCATTGCCTCTCTATGATCTGGTAGACGCAAGATCACCGGAATTGAAAAGTGCTACGGTACCCACCGCTATGTCCTCACAAACAATCCTTCTTTACACCAAAGTCGAAATCCTCGCAGAATACAGCAATATCCCAAAAGGCTTCATCAACAGGACATCTTGGAACGAGCATCCTCCCGATGAACCTCCAATGATCAACTGGAACCGACAAGGCTGGGATGAGAGATTTGTGCCTCAAATCAAGTCTTCAGATGATGAGTGGGTTGAAATAGTGTTGAACAATATGGATGAGAAGGGTCATCCTTTCCACTTGGTACTATTCACCCCGACTTCTCGGTCCCATCGGCTAATTGGAACAGCACGGCTACAGCTTCCATGTTCTTGCCACTCATAAAGGCAAGCCGGGACGTTACCAAGCATATAATCCCTTCGATGGCTCCGAGCCGGCTGGAGGTCCGCTCAACACCGTGAATCCCATCAAGAAAGATACCGTCTATGTTCCAGGAATGGGATACGTAGTTCTTCGATTCCGTCCTGATAATCCGGGGCTGTGGCTCTTTCATTGTCATGTCATTTGGCATCATGCTGTGGGGATGGCTATGGCATTTCAGGTTGGTGGTAGTGAGAATGGTTTTGCGGGGTGGTGGGATGGAGGAGAGGATGCTACCGCTTGGCGCTGAGACTCAATGTCACCCGAAATTGATGGATTATAATTGACTTGAAAAGTGAATAAGCAATTATGAGAGCTGCGACGTGCAACAAAACTCTCAGGAAGGAGGTAGCAGCACGTGACCTGAACCTCTGGAAGACATCGGAGATAAATTCATAAAAACCAACTACTATAAGATGAGAGTGTTGATGTTGTGCGAATATTTAGTCCTTGGAAGTGATTTTCTGTATGCTATCAGTGATTTCGAGGAGAGTCCTCATTGTCACGTGCCGTTCGGTCGAAGAACAATCATTTTCCTGACGTCGAGGCGAACTAGCTTTATTGTTCTTATTGGTGTTCATAGAGGCTCAGCTCAAGGTTATGAGGCAGCAAAGCAGCATATGTAGTTAGTGGGCTGTGCAGATCTGTTAGCACATGCACAGCCTCCACAGGAAGCCTCGTTAACTTGGTGTTGATATTCTCATTTCCCACCTTATGAATGGACTTCGACCCTCCAAAACTGATCTCTGCACTTTTTATGCCTAGTGATATCCACGATGGATCCCGTCAGCCCTTGGCGTTGCAGGAACTGTCGTTCAATTTGTTCAATTTGCATCTGCATTGCTAGAAGGGGCTAAAGAGATATATAACTCGGCTTCGGGAGCCTCTGACGAAAACCAGAAGTTGGAATTCATATATACCAATCTTTCTGATCTGAGTGTCGGCCTTGACACAAGTACCCGCCGCAAAACTGCAGGCGTTCGATTCGTTGCCTCTGGATTGCCCAGGGATGCTCTGTCTTTGGCAGATCTTGCCGCAAAGTGTCGACAAGACTGCCTTCAACTCTTAGAAATTGTCTCTCGCATAAGGACTAGAGCCAGCTCCGGCCCAAAGATGTGGAGAAGCTTTCGCGTGGCCTTGACGGAGGTGTTGAAAGCGAATGAGATTGAGAGACTGGAGGAACGCATTGGAAGCTACCAGAGATTAATGGTCTTGCATCTTTGTTCCGCGTCGAAGTATGTACTATCTCCCTCCTAAGACTCTATAGTGCTGTTCTGATGGGCTTTTAGGGGAACAATAGATGGGATAGATGCCCAGATAAAAGCGATTCGTTTTGAGTCTTGTGTCACTCAAAATCAGAGATCTCAACAAATTAATCAGATCTCGCAGACACTTGAAAGCATCCACAGCTATATCTCTAGAATCTTATCGGACCGAAACAAGAAACATCTATCGGGTGACGAGATAGAACAATTAACAACGAGAGTGTCTGAGCTCTCTCTTGCTAGCGAAGAGTACGCCACACAAAATAAGTTGCTGAGTAGTCTCAACTACGAACAACGGCCTGCAAGGCATGAGAGCATAACTGATGCTCACAAGAAGACGCTCATTTGGATGTTCTCGTCTTGTAGTTCTGAGAGCGGCGAGAAGAACAATTTTGCGGAATGGCTACGCGAGGGTGACGGGATATTCTGGGTGTCTGGGAAACCCCGGGTCAGGGAAATCAACTTTCATGAAGTTCGTTGCCGATAACCGAGTCACCGATAATCTTTTATCACAATGGGCGCACCCTAAAGATATCATTAAGGCTTGCCACTACTTTTGGAGCCCAGGTACAGATATCCAGAGGTCGCAAGATGGATTACTCCGTTCGCTTCTTTATGACATTCTTTGCCGAATTCCAGGCTTGATCAAGGTTGTCTGCCCAGAAAGATGGTTGCAGATATGCTCTAGCAGACAATCGGCGCTGCCGTGGCTGTTGCCAGAGCTTCAGGAGACCATTAGAATGATAGCAGAGCAAAGCGAACTTCCTTTCAAGCTCTGTCTTTTTGTCGATGGCCTAGACGAGTTCGGTGGAGACCATTCGTTACTCTGCGAATTGTTGACTCAGCTTAGTCGTTGCCCTAGCATCAAACTTGTTGTTTCAAGTCGCCCTTGGAATACCTTTGAAACCTATTTTGGAAGGAATTCTACCAGAAAGCTCTACTTGCACGATCTGACTCGAGATGACATCCGTAACTACGCAGAGAGCCAACTTCTCGAACATCCCAATTGGAACGTTCTGAAGACTGAATCAGGCCATTGCCAAGCAGTCTGGTTAGTTGATGAAGTCACTAGCCGGTCTCGAGGTGTCTTTCTTTGGGTGTTCCTTGCAACACAATTACTCAGAGACGGGTTAACCAACTACGACACGCTTCTGGATTTGAAGGACAGGCTTGAGAGAATCCCTGATGATCTTAGTGTCTTCTTCAGACACATGCTGGAGTCCGTGGAATCATTCTATCACGACAAGATGGCCGGCACACTTCAGATTGCTTTAGCTGCAAAGGAGCCCCTCCCTATCCTAGTTTACAGCTTCCATGATTTAGGATATGAGGATAAATTCTATGCAATGAAAGAAAAAGTGCAACCATGGACTAAACAAGAACTGGATGCATTTCAACAACCATTTTCGCGCCGCCTCAACGCTCGATGTAAAGGACTGCTCGAAATCCAAGGACGCAATGTCGAGTTTCTTCATCGCACAGTTCGGGACTATTTCCGAACTGCAGAGATGCAAGATTTCCTTGCCAGCAAAAGAGTCGATGATGTTGATCCACAGTGCTCGATACTCCAAGCATACGTCGCATGGATCAAGCATAAGACTTTCTTTGGAAGTTCTCAACCTACTGTTGACGGAGGACGTGGATTGCAGGAGCATCTCGTCCCTGTGCTCGACGAAGCTTTGTCTTACGCCGTCGAGGGAAGTAAGTGCAAGGAATCGCCTCTTTTCGCTCTTCTTGATGACCTCGAGTGGTCTATAAACTTAATGTATACAACATCGGCATGCGACAAGAACTTCCCACAGTCAACACTCGATGCTCGCAGCAGATTTACAACTTTATTCCGAAAGCGACTGCTTCGGATTGGCGTAGTTGATTATATCGAGCACAAGTTGGACGAGGATGTTACGTTTTTAGACACTCTTGATGTGCCGCCGTTGGCGATTGCCCTTGGACTTGATCGGAAGCTCGAGTCTGGCATTCACCGAGGTTGGTGCATTCATCGGGTGAACGTTCTTCGTTGTCTCCTTCGCAGAAGGCATAATTCAAACCAGGAGTTTTCATGGGCCAAAGATGGTATCAGAGAGACCCCGTGGTCCACTTTTACTGCCAATCTTTTGAGAGACGGCCTTGAGATCGAAACTCAAGAACTTTTCGAAGCATTGGAGAAGGGAGTCATCTCCTTGCTTTTGGAATTTGGCGCGAGTCCCAACTTAACTTTGGTGACATCTGAACCAAAGTGGTATTTGTCCCCTTTTGTTACCGTCTGCGAGGTTCCACTTTGGGTAGGGTTTTTTCTCTTCATCTATTCGACATCCGATCTTGTGGAACATGCGCAATCTTACCTCCAAGCACTGGACATGCTACTGGCCAAAGCAGACTTGGATACGGTCAACCATGGTTTAAGTCCTTTCCAAAACGACTTGGGAGAAAAGAAGCTATCTACCCAAGCCAAGACCGATATGACAGCAAGATGTGCGGTGTTTCACATTATCGGTCGCTCACTGCAACGCATGGTCAACGTGTCTGCTTGCCAAACATACAACTATCCTCATTTGCAGCTCCTTGCAAAAGCAATCGGAGCTTTTCTCATACATGCGGCTCATCCTTCTCTACCTATTGTTCAGGTCCAAGGCAATATTCAACACATATTCCCACCAAGCTTAGAAAAATACCTCTTAGACATCATCCGCACTCATTATCCGGCTAAGAATAATAGCTCTAAAAGTTGCAAAAGAGGGGCCTCAACTAACGATAGCGCAGAGAGTACAGAAAGAGAAGTGATTAGATGGAAAAGGTCGAAAACACAAAGCCAATCATCAATCCAAAGCTAGACATGAGGAGAAGGAATAGGCAATTCAAACTTTGCCTCATATTTCAACTCATAGTCTCAGAATCGGCTCATAAACAGTTCCTAGTTACACTTATAGTCAAGCGAAAACATTTGAGTGAGATTGTGAGAGTTGGGACGTCCAACAGAAGTCCGTGAAAGAGATAGCATCACGTAACTGGAACCGGTACCTAGGTAGAAGATATAGGTACCTGGGTATCGATGATAAAGTTTTATTCAATATAGACAACATTTACCATAAGACAGAGTAGGCTGATTCTGCGTGGATATGCAGGCTCTTCAATTAATCTTCTAAACGCAACTAATGATTTTGGAGGGAAGGTATTCTTATCACGTGCTTCTTTCTTAAACAATAATTATTTTGGTGAAGCTTCCTGCAAGCCAGCCTTATCATCTGGCTCTCATTTTCTATCCGACAAATTATCAAGCTTGAAATAAATTAGTGCGGGCTGTTTCTTCGAATGAGTCCAGAGTGAGGCTGTGTGCAGAGTGGCGCCTTGTGGTTAATTACACAGCCTTACCACTCCATACAACCTCCGAGAACCTTCATTTTCGTCATGCCTTCCTTTCAAGTGTCTCCTCTTTGTCTTACTAAACGAGAATGTCGTTCGGATTTTCAGTCGGCGATTTTGTCCAGCTACTCCAGATCGCAAAACAAACTTATCGCAATTGCAAGCAGGGGGCGAGTACCTGGAGATAGCTCAGGAAGTTCGAAGCTTGCACAGCATCCTTAAATCCCTCCGTGAAGAAGCAGAGAGACCAGACTCTGCACTCCTGCGGAGCTCTTCATCCTCCACTACCCAACTGCCAGTTCTCGTTCAGGGTTGCCAGAACGTCTTGAAAGATATCGACCGCTGCCTCACAAAGTATCATGGTCTTGCAGACAATGGGGCAACAACCAGTGTCCCAAAGAAACTATGGCATCGATTCCGATTCGGCGCGGAGCTCGATGAACTTCCAAAGTTTCGTGCTAAGATCATCACATACACTACGATGCTTGCTGTTGCGCTCGACTCGATCCAATTGGAAGCAACTGGGCGTGTAGAGAACAAGGTAGACGCTGGTTTTTCAGAATTGCTGGATCGATTTGAAGGTATGCGCAAAGCTGTCTTCGAGACTGCAACAAAGGCTCGTGTAGCACAGTGTCAAGGCTCCGTTTCCGCTCTAGATTCACAGCTTTCGTTGTCCACATACGCCGATGACGATAAAGAGGTCTGGAGACGATTTAGGTCCGAACTTATTGCTCATAGATTCCGCAGCGATGCTTTAGATACCCATATTGATATATTGAAGGCATATATGATGAGGTTAAATTACAATGGGGTGTTGGATCAAGCGGCAAGATCTCTGGATGCAGAGCAGCCACCGTGGTGGGCAAATACTTCATTTCGAGTGACGAATACCGAGCTGCCGGGACAAATTGACAGTGGCAATCGAATGCTCAAAGCTCTAGACCTACCGATTATTCCAGTCATATCAAGTTCGCCAGAACAAAAGGCTACTGGAGACACTTCCCTTCCGCAATCTACAACTCCTGTTCTGATACGAGTAAACGATTTCAATGCAGACTTTTTAGATCTTCAAGCAGAGAACGGACTTGCCAATTCTGATGAACAACCCCATCCTGGAGCCTCATCAGTACCAGACAAGAAGCTTGAGGGTTACCGCGCCCCTTTTGCCGAGTCCTATCACTCCGACCTTAACGCGAGCTCGACTTCCTCGACTCTATTACAGCCATCTGCGAATGTGGGAGAGCTCCAGCCAAAGACACGGCGTGGTATTCGTCGTGAGCGGAATTCATCTTCTCCCTTGAATCGTTCCAGCTCCACTCAATCAACTGTTCGATCGGAAAATGCACAACCATCAACCAAGGTAGCAGAGCCGGCCCATACTGATATCAAAAGCCCTCGTCAACTTTCTCCGAGAGCGAATACCAACAAAGAGCCAAAAGGCTCGCTTGATTCAGAATCAAGGACGGAGGGAGCTCAAGGATTGTCAACGCAGGTGTCCGAAGAGTCAATTGTAACACATGATAGCATCGAACACCAACGGTCTTACCCTCAGTCTCAGACTAGGCGGGACAATAGGGAAGAGACGAAATTTTCTGGTTCTTATTCACAGACAAAAGCAAAACATGCCCTTCTAGATGGAGCGGCTGAAGCTCTCCACATACAAAACGAACCGAATTCTAAGGGCGAGCCAAGAATGAGAGGTATCCGAGTTGGTGCATCCGCACGTAGCCGCTGGAAAGAAAGAACTCTAAGAACCCTCAAAGAAGCCAAGTCCTTGGGGACATAGTGACCGGACTCGTCAAATCACAGAATGCTGCTCTACCATCAGTGAGAGTCCCCGAAGCCAATGAACAAAGCCAAATTTCCCAAGCTAAAGCTAAGGATGCACTTTAAGAAGGAGCCTTAGACGCTTTGCGTCTGCGGGATAAAGATGAACCGGGACTCGAGCCAGGCAGCACAGGAAAGCGGGTCATTGTGACAGCAGCGTTGGAGGTTAAAGACCAACAAAGGAAGCAAATACTCGAGAATATTGTCACGGGACTCGCCAACTCAAAACTTGACTTTACTATACCCTCCATATCAACTCCCGAGGTCAGAGCAACCACCAGGCCTAGATCAGATCGTGAGTTACGAGCACAAAGAGATCGTTCTTCCAGCTCGAGCCCTCACAAACCCCGCAGTTCATCGTACAACAAACCTCCAAGCCCAGAACCAGATCTTTCAGATACATCGAATTCCGCCTCCGAATTCTCGAAACTGCCTGGTGTAGGGATGGCGCTAGCTGCCACGATTCATGCAGCACATAACATATTTTCTGGACTGGAGAAGCGGCAAGCTAGGAAAAAGGCCATTGGAGAAGGAATGGTGACACCGGAAGAAGCGAGAAAGCTTAGGAGTATGTCTCTGCTGCAGGATGCGGCTTCGGTTGGGATTGCGGCGCTAGGACTCAAGGGGGCGTTTTCGGAGTGGAAGGAGGTACAGAATCAGAAGGAAAGTGGAAGAAGAGGGGAATAGGGGAGGAGTGTTGAAATTGATTTAACACTATATTGGATACTTGTTCACGCCAGGCCTAGCAAAGTACTTCCTAGATATCATCCGCATTCACTATCCAACTGAGAATATCAGCTCCGAAAGATGCAAAGAACGAACCCACGTAATAATGATGAAAACAATACCAGAATAGTAGAGAACGTTGGGAATAAGCTGAAGAGATAACGGCAATGAGTTGAGAGATGAAGGTGAGCAGAACGTAAGCAAAATGAGCATGTAGTACAAGACTTGAAAGATGCAACTCATAATACGGCTCATAATCTCGTAATCGACCCATAAAGACTCATAATTCAACTCATAATCAAGTACAAACGTTTTTGAGAGAGATTGTGAGAGGTGCGACGTGCAACAAAAGTTTCAAGAACGCAAGCATATCACGTGCCCGTGAATATTCCACTGGCAAACACCAACCCCTGGCGCGGCTTGTTCTAGCGCAGGTAGCCTTTAAGACATCACAATGAAACATTTTCAGATAGAAGAAGCATGTCCTCGTGTATATACTTCTCGCCACATATGGAGACTGAAAATTCCGAAACCAATTTTTTGCATCACGTGTCAAGTGGGTCCTGCGCTCAATTGGAACTTTTCCTCGAAGCTCTTCCAATTCTCCTCTGACGTCAATGACTGAAGGACCGGTCTCGAGGCCATTCCATGTGAGAGCCTTCCTAGCTGCACATCATAACTCAGACACTTCCGTGAAACTTGTATCTCATCGATGCGGAGGTACGCCGGCTGAACAAATTTGTCAGGTCTAAGCGAGAGTAAAACAATGAATTGTATCAAGTATGAGAGGTGGATATCATACCAAAGACTCCGAACTGGCATTGGCTACGGCGCCTTATCAACAGCCTCATACTGACACAGAATATAAAACTCATGAATCTCCCCAAGCTTCTCCGGAAATCGCAACAATGATCCATCCGATTGCCCGCTTCTCAACTTCAACGGAATCTCTATCTCGGTATAAAGACTTCCATGATATAGACCGGGCCACTTTGCGTGGGCGACGAAGTCAAACCAGATATCTTCACTGCTATCATGATAGAAATCTTCGTCCTCATCCTCATGACTACCTTTGATTCCAGGGGCATAGTAACGAGTTCTGAAATGAGATCCAGCAGATGGTGTAGTTGCCAATTGAACGAAGAACTCGAACCTTACTACACGAATGCCTCTTCGGCCAGTGAGGAATGGGAACATGTTGCGGTGTAGATGGAGACGTAAGTCGGGCCGCATTCGTTTGTGATGCTTCTCTCGTGACTCTTCATGGATGAAGCTTCGTTCGAGCATTGCCCATGCATTAGACATATCGTGACGAACGTCAAACAATCTCCACCCATCACCCGGAAGCCTTGTTTGAGCATTTAAAGATGCCGCGCGTTTTAAGGCTTCGCCACCATCTCTTGATGTGTAGTTCAGTTGTATGATCACGTCTGTTAGCGTGCTCATGTCGAATTGGTTGTTTTCGGGCGGCAACTCGATCTTCCATTTACTCACGGCACCAGCGAATTCAAAGGGCAAGTATCGTTCATCCTGGAGGCTAAGCTGGAACAGACCTGAGTCTGACATACCAGTTGATGTGGCAATTCCTTCACGGGCTCCATAAAGAAATGCGAAGCGATCATCCGAGGTCAACGACTGGCATTCATAGCCACCCATCTCACTTGCCGACTCTGCAAGAATGTTTGATACACGAATTGCGCTGTTGAGAAGCTCGAGACGGCAATGCATTCCGGTATATGGACCAACAACGCACGGAATTGTCAGATTGACATTCTTGATTCGTCGCATGTAGTGCCCTGGATAATCCAGGTCGAAGATCCACTCCGGGATTGCAATCTCACACTTTCCAGTAAGCTTCAACTGCAGGAATGATTCTGGGAAATGCATTGCAAGAGAGAGCTGTTTCGTTAATTCGTGCTCTCGAATATTGTGCTCCATGTAAGCACGGTTCATCTCTTGTAGAGCAAGTGAAAGTCTGTCTCCAGCCATCAAGCCGCTATGAAGACCGTCCCAGCTACAATCTTTCATGAAATTGCGGTAGTCGGCACGAATCTCATAGTGATACGATTCTTGAGCGACCTGAGCAGCGTCAAGAGCGAGGTTGTACAATTGTCGATATGCTATCGTGGCTTCTCGCTGCAAGAATAAGTAAGTATCGAAATTCGTGGTTTTATCCCTCATGAAGTTCTGGGTTTCGACGCTATGGTCGATCTGTCGCTGTGTGTTGTTCACATCAAAAAGAGCGTTCTGTCGTCGACGGTCTGCAGCAAGCTTTTGGCATTCTAGGGACTGCAATTCGATTGTTGTCATATCCACGGCGTGCATCCAATCATCCATTCGCCGATCCCACGTTGATTGGGTCAATCTCACACCAGCAGTGGTTCCCATTGCATCGGCCTGTGAGTTGACGATCTCAGATGCGAAACTGAAGAATGATGCAAAAGAGCTGCCACCAGTGATTTTCTCGAACTGGAGCGGGCTCCCCAGCGCACCTGCACCTCCAGCATAGACATCTGGAGCAACAGATACTCCCTGCCCCGCAGCCATTAAAGCTTGCGCTGCAATTCTCAGACCAAGAGCCACATCGGTAAAGGTCACATAATCGTTTTCATTCGAATTGTTCCCGTTTCGAATATTAGTCTGGGTGGAGTTCAGGTCGCATAATGAGTGCTGAAGGCTTCGCTCCAAACTCTGGACGTCCCAGTCTGCGGCTCGAAAGTCGTTTTTCTTTCCTTCCAAAGCACGCGTCACGAGTTGTCTCTCCTGTCCAGCTTGTATTGACGACAAGTACTCTGCATCTCCTTTCTCTAGGGCCGATTGAAGTGACGCACCCATGCTGCTAGCCATTTGAGCCAATTCGGTTGCCTTGGACATCACGGAGGTGAACCTATAGGGTAATCGTCGGTGAGGTGTGTGAGGACTCGAGGGTGAAAGCCGTATAAGATCCGAATTATGACTTGAGATGTCCACCCCGCTCTGGTTTCGAAGTTTTGTCAAGTTGTCCGCAACGGAATCATATAGGGCAACAAGACGAGGATTCAAAGGCAAGGGAGCTGGTGAGAAGTTCTGAATTGTCATGGAACCGGATCCAGTATCATCCGAGAAGACTTCAATTGGGCGATCTCCAAGAATGTCGTCTATGAGATTGAAAATGACCAGAGCTTGACGGGATGACTCTATCTCGTCTTTGCGAGAGAGCTGAATACCCCACTGCAGCAGTGTATCAAGGTACTCGAGCAGAATTGCTTTGGTTCTCGTATCGCCAGAGTTTGTGGATGTGGCTGGATTGCTCATCCAAGAGTTATCTCGTTTCAAAGGGCTACCTGGTTGATCATAGGCTAGATCAAACCATTTCAGAGCTGCCTCGAAGCTACCTTGCGAACTCAAAGTCTGAGCAACACTGAGTGCTGTGCTGAAGTTCGACGGAGGGACCAACGGAGCTCCGGGCTCAAAGTAAACGAAATAGGGGTAGGCTGAAAGTGGCTTCGGAAATTGAGACGTATCGATCACGGGGATAATTGGAACAGCGCTACTTCCAGAGCTTACGTCGTCGATGAGATTGGACACGGAATCGTCAGCGATGTTGTACTGAAATGCCGCCACACCATTCGCATTGAGAAGCAGCGAGTCTGCTTGACGTCCCACAAGGTCAAGGGCCGGAATGCCACTTCCGTTATATGCTGCCCCTCTAATGGATTGCTGCGGGGTGCCAAATTGGCCAAGGTGGACTTTACACCACGACAGATACAAGACAGGTTGCGATTGCCATTTCAAAAGATCTTTGAGTTTCACACCATCTGCATTAACACGATCAGGGTCCCAGTCACAGGCAGGGTCTGGTGGCGTTGCTCCTAGCCCAAGTTTCTGCTCGGCGTTTTTCTCATCGAAGTATTGAAGCGGCGTCAGCCAAAAATAGTACTCGTCGATACTTGGGCCTAGAGAATCATGGATAGCATGACTATGCTTATGGCTTCTGCTTTCTGTGATCGCAGGTGGTGGAGAGGATGCAGTTACACGAATAAACTTTGCGCCCAACCGGACAGCTGCTTGAATCCAGAGAGGAAGTTGCTCTACATCACCAACCGCAGAGTCATCTCCTGGGAGCGAAGAAAGTGAACTCGGCTGTCCATCATGCTCAGGTTGACCAAGGAGTGACATGCCCGAGGTGGTGGCTGAGATCTGAGTGTCTGTAGACAGAGGAGTATTTTCGAGTGAAACGAATTCAACAGACTGTAGATCTTCGAGATCGCCTTCTGCGGCCAGCTGTGGTCCATTCCAATATAGAGATTTGGTTGGAGCGGGAACAGACAGCACTCCTCGACGGAGTTGTTGCTCGAAGGAACGGAAACCTTCACTCTTTCGAGCTTCTTGAAGCTCATCCCATTGGATCCAATTCTCTTCGTAGAGTTCTCGTCTCTTCGCTGTTTCCCATGTCTTGTATGTGCTGTACTTGGCGTCCCAAGTTTGAATGAACTCGCTCGAGATGTCAAATTCAGGCTCAAGCCCGAGTCGAAGGCGCTGAACGAATGTCTGGACGGAGATAATTGCATCGTCAATCCTAGTCGTTTTCTTATTCGCACCAACTTCAACATCCATCAAAAGGAGGGCGTTCAAGTCTCGGGGCTCGCGAACATAGGTGGCCTGTCCGAATGGGAGAGCCACACGGTCCTTGCCGCATAAGTATGCAAGAAGAGCAGCATGGGCCCTCAATCTCAACCTATCGTTTATCTTCTTGACATCTGCAATTGTGGAGCCAGGTTTGCTCAAGAGACTCCTCAGAACAAAATTCGTCAAATTTTGATTTCCGGAAGCATCTCCAATTTGGGTATTTGGATCGTCTGATGCCCAAAGCCATGGCCGAGTGGACTCTAATTGCTCACTCACAAATCGGTGTTTTAAATCTCCAATCAAGTTACTAGAGCGCCAGACTCGTGTGGCCCATCGTTCGTCAGTGAGATCGGCAGTGCTGACGCTGACTTGAGAGTCGGGATTAGAAGGGTCGAAGTAGGTCAAGACTTGTGGAGCGAAGCTAGAATTGACACTGAGATAACGCAACAGCTTCTCTGGTTTAGGTGCTTGCTGTGAAGCCTCGAAAAACAGCATCCAGCAATCTCGATTCCGTGTCTTTCGAACCCAATCGCGCAATTGGGAATAGTCGAAAATGCGCTCCCACCAGTCAAATAGGGCTGCTTGTAGCTCCGGGCTCGGGTGTGCGCGGAAATCGTCTGAAATATCTGGAGACTTGTACGGATCTGTGACGGGAAGTAAATTCAGGTCGAAGACCGCACGACAAGTTTTGAATCCGGTTTCTGGAGTCGTACTTCGGTAGTAAGAAGTGCCAACAAAAGACTTGGGATTTTGGAGCAAATACTGAAGCTCTGATCCACCCACATTATCCTTGTGAATGGGCTTCGCTGAAAGGGTGCTTCTTGAGCAGAACAATATCCCCTTGAAGACTCGTTGATACGTACGACGAATGTCCCGAAGTGAGCTGGTGTAATGAGAATTCAAGTATGTTGCAGCAGAACCGGTGACGGTGAGGTCGTGGCCAAGAGTCGCATTCTTTGACTCCTGGAAGAGTTTACAGGCAGGCACGACACTCAGGACATCGTCTGTATCGGGACCCTTGTATTTTACTTGGAATCCGGTTCGGCGGTGTTTCTCGCCTGCAGAGGTGGGAAGCTGATGTTTGTAGTGGATCTCGATGTGGTAAACGCCGTGCTGAAGAAAGAGACCTTCGGGCTCGGCCTCACAAGTCGTCGAAGCATCCCAACCGTAGTTCAACACAGTCCACGATTTTTGACCACTGCTAAGAGTCAACAACCAACAGTCATGCTTCGCTTCCTCAAAACTTGGAGTCTCATCGCCTGGACGGGGATGTCCGGCATGGAAAAAATATTCTCCAGCGGATGCGATAAGAAGTGCGCCAGTCCATACGACTCGAAATGGCTCCGCTCCTCCAAGAGACTTCCCGTCTTGGTCTCGAATTGCAAAGCCATTTACAATTTCTATGTTAGTTTCCTCTGTTTCAATGCTGAGATCAAGGCTCGGGAGCACGGTCGGAATAGGTACAGAGGTTTCGTTGTTCTCGTCTCCAAAGAAGGTGAGATCCCCAGAAAACTCTCGCCAGATCTTTGATGGTTCATCTTTATGATGAATCTCGTACTGGCCAGGTAACCCCGTTCCAACCAATCCCAACAAGGATGCAAAAGCACCACCAGATAGGCTAGGGTCCCAAGTATACTCCGGGTCGCTTAGTCCTGCTGTCTTGATTCGAACATTCTCATCTGCTGCAATGTGGCGAAGGACATCCCAAGCGACGCGTTTGTTGTCAGGTGAGCCTTTCCCAGTGGCTTTTGACACATGCTTGGCAAGGTGGTCGGCAATCTTCTTACAGCGGCGATGGAAGATCTCAAACTGTTCTTGGAAGAAAGCAAAACGTCTCTCCTCTTGATGTTCGTGGAGGAGTGTTTTGACAGCAGCCGGGAAGTTTTCGAAGATCAGAGCAAATGGCGCAAGCAACGCCCTAGGGGCGAAGTTGAGATCTTGAACTGCTTGAATCTCTTTCGCGTTGAGCTGCCTTGAGCTTTTCAACAATGTGATAACAGCTTCGTCGGGAAGTGGAAGCTCGGTCCACAATTTACCAGAGTCTTCTGCATCATAGTGGAACGGACTACACTGATCTATAGTCCATAGAGATGGAGTAGTATCTGCAACAGCCAATTCTACTTCGAAACGTCGATCTCTGAAGTTGACTTGGTGTCCGCAATTCTCAAGAGCCGCGGGGAAAAAGTGAATTCCAAGTGCGTCGAATGAATCTTTAGCTTGCAGCCCTCCCAGTTCAAAAATCACGGTCTTCATTTCTTGCCAAGTCCATCCGACAATATCTTCTTCGCCAAGACTGACACTTAGAAGCTGCTCGCGTAATTGCCAAATGCCGTGCTCATCGTCGTCTGGATACTTGAGAGTCTCTATTGCGGATTTTCCAGCATCTGGCAAGGGAAATGGGTCGTCGCCGATGAGATGACAGTCGGGCACGAACAAGAAGATTGTCTCCCCGACGCTGAGATTAGAAGCATATATTTTTGCCAAGATCTCTGCGAAGCGGATGGTGCACGTTGGTTTGGCGTACCATGGGTCTTCATCTGTAAAGCCAGCTAGCAGTGAAAGGGCACGCAAGTTGTCCTTCAAGGCTTTTTGGAAACCGGTCGGGCGATCTTTGCATGCATGGCAAGACTTGGAATAATCTTGAATGCGGTGAAGGAAGAAATCAATCGCGTGATCTCTTTCAACTGACTGCATGGCCGGTAACGCCCAAAGAGAAAGGAGCGAGCCACCGGTCCGCGTGGAGCGATTTGCCCAAGGCATATCTGGATGTCGAGTCACTAGTGATAGCTTGAAATGATTCTGCAGCATCAAAAGAGCAGCCAATTGTCTGGGGAAATCCGGGTTGACAGCTTTATTGAAGAAGTGCAACGCCTCGCAAATCAAAGCGAGCGTATTCCACGAGACGGAAGATATGACCGAGCGTGATAGACAGCGCCATAGGCGAATGAAGAGAAACAACTTGCGAAGCGTCAAAGAAAGTTCGGAATTAGGAACATTGAGATGAACCGTGGAAGTGCTACCCAAAGGATCTTTGGATGCAAGTTCCAGCGGCACGAACCTGGTTTTTGACAATTGGAGTAAATCATTCTTGTTGATCCCTGTAAATTGCAGAAAGTTCCGCACTGAGACCGAGAATTCCGACGAAAAATCCCAGTCGAATCCTAGAACAGAGCCAAGGAGCTCATTGTCTGGAACATCGCTCGCGAAGAGACTCCAGTATTCTTCCGTGGTGATGTTGACGTAAGACAAGGCAAGCTCGAAACGAACTGGGTATCGCCAGAGGTGACTCTGGAAATCACTCGGTCCTAGGCTGGCATCAATTGCAAACTCTGTGATATCTTTGCGAAAGTGTCTCAGGACGTCAAATCGTTCAGTGCCAAGGACTGAAAGATTCGAGGTTGCAATATCAATTGCTTGGGAATACGGGAGATATGAGCTGGTGAAGCAATTTTTCAACGCATTGTAGACATTTGGGTTTGTGAACGGCTCCGGGGATGAGTATTGAGGAATTGCTGTCAAGATATTCGGCTGCTCTACTTTTAGTCCAATACGATCTACCAATAGCTGAACGTCGGTGTCATAGACCACACCTCCTGGATTGCTGACATTGGCCCCTACCGCCTCCAGTGCCTCGTTGACGAGATCAATCGCAGGTAGTATAGTCTCTAGGTTTTCGACAGAAACCTTGAGATTTGCAACGAGTCCCCTTCGAAGACCGATCACCTGAGCAAGTGTAGTCGTGCCAAGAGGAATTGCAAGGATGTCGTGTAGATATGCCACGAGACCAAAGGGTGCCAAATTATTCCGCGGTATAACGGAAACCAACGAGTTAGCTTGGTTCACTGGAATGAATGAACCCACTTGACTGGGACCGGTCTTTGATTGTGTGGTGCTTATTGCTTGTGCGAGGGAGTATATTTGGTTGGAAGTGGTCTTTGGATAAGCAATGGTCCCCATGAGCGCTCTTTGAAACTGTTCTCCAGTCAACTTTGTGATGACTCGGGGATGTGTAAAGCCGCGAGCATACAAAGCTTCCATAAGAGAAAACTGAAAGTCGGCAAGAACGGGAGATTTATTTTGTGAAATGGATGTCACTTGGAAGAGATTCGTAATGATTTCCACTGCTTGTTTGAGCCCTTCTCGGTTTCGTGGGTCGTTCGGGAAGACAGCCAAGACCACCTTTTCAAGATCTTTATCATCAAGCATGACGGAAAAATCTACAGTTTTCCCAATCTGGATTAAATATTGATTGATGAAAAGCTGCAAAGCATCACCTGCTGGAATTCCGAATGTCGCAACACCACCAGTGCTCACTTGCGGCGGTAACACAGCCGTTCCAGTAACTGTAAAGAATTTTCCAAGCCGCTGAACAAAGGCATTGACTCGCTGCTCGGTGGTGCCTGGGAGGGTGAAATCTGGTAAGAGTTTAGAGATTGCAGGATTTCCATTCGAAGCGGGAAGCGCGAAGAAATTCTGCCACTGATCTGGCGTGATGCCTACCAGTTTGGTGACAGTTTTGACATGAAGAATCGTTTTGATCGCATCCACCAGGGCAGTCTCGCCTTGCGTGATGGCCTGAAGAAGAAAGTTGAGATATTCTCCGGGATGGTTCTTTATCGCTTTGGCCCAAAAATCAGTGTTTATCAAGTCTGACGTCTCTGCAAAACTGAGCCAGTCACCGATGAGGTCAGGTTGCTCTAAGTTCCCTTTCTCATCTTTAGTCATCAGATATTTGAGGTCAACAGTAGTGTTGCTAGTGAAACCCAAAGCTGCTAGCCTTCGAGCAGCTTGGTACTGGTTGACTGGGTTACCAGACACGGTCACCGGAGCTATCGAAGACGCTAAGATGCCGGCTTGGATATTGTTCTCAAAAATTGTCCCCAGTTGAGGTTCTGTGCTCAGTATCGCTGAGCTGAAGCGCTGACTCGCAGGAATGCTGATAGGTAGAATTGCACCAAGGGCGTAAAAGAACGCTGCAGGCACGGTGAAGCGAGGCTCACCGGCAGGTAGATCGTCCGTGTACGTGAAGACCAATGAAGCCTCAGAAAAGACCGCGTTTGTAGAAGACGTATCTGCTTCTACTTTTGTAGAAGACTTGTCTGCTTCAGTAGAAGACGTGTCTGCCTCAACAGGAAATGTCAATCCAGCGGTGTTCGCCGATACACTTAGTTGTTCACAAGTGATAGCAGCGGATACTGCATACACAAAATTTGCTAATCTTGTCGCATCTGCGCCGTAAGTGGTATAGTAGTTACTCAGGTCACTGCTGAACTGGTTTCTGGAGTTCTCCGCATCTGTATCACTATCACCAGACAATGGGAGCGTATATATGGTGTCCAAGCTGCCACTCGGAACGGGAAGAGGATATAAAGAACGATCCCACGTGATGACCGATGCGAGTTGCTGGCTCTGGCTAGCAGTCAGAGGTGTACTTCGAGTCTCGAGGTGCTGGCTATAGGACGTATCCGGAGAAGTATCTTGATCTAGAGCAGCATTGATCGCTTTGAGAAGGGTGCCAAAATCTGGGGCTGACCCGTCTGAGGGTAGTTGAACAGTTGAGGTGCTGGGTGGTTGGAGTGGCAGCGAAAAATATGTCGAGGCAGGCATCGTAAAATAATTTTTTTGATCCGGTACCAGACTCATATCAATCACCTGAACTCCATAGTCAAGTGTAGTTCCCACCAAAGCACCATTAAGTTGATATTGAACGCGAAGATTTAGTTTCGAGCGGCCAAGAGGCGGAGATACAATGATGATAGCTGTAGCCACGGAGTATGGTTGCGGTGGTATCGGGATGGGAGTGCTGGTATCCTGGGAGAACTCTTGCAAGATGGAATTGTCAAGTTTTGTGTGCTGCTGTCCATCTAGTGGATTAAAAAGCAACCCAGCAAGATCGGTGAGCCCTCCCGCTGTCCCAATCTCAGTTCCTACCAGACTGTCCTCAACATCCAAATCATATGCCGTAATGGTGAGGTTCTTCAAGGTGCTCAGAAAGACATCAGGCTTACATGGCTGAGTCGGAACGAGCTTGACAAGCACGAGATTGACGGTGGAGGTGGACATTTTGTGCTGATGATGTTACTGCTAAATCGTAGACAACCGCTCACGAAGGAGGAAAAAGAATTTGCGGAACAGAGATTTCGCCGGGGGCGACAAAGAGTTCAATCAATTGTCCATCCGTGCAGAAGAGCAAGAGTGTGAGAACGAGCAATCGACATGCGTGAAATCTATGATCACGAAGCAGCCAGCTCTCCAGATTTTGTTCGGATTGTCTCTCCACCATTCTTCCTCTCTCATTGAATGGTCCTGTCATTGGTCGTGAGTCCCAATCGTTGAAGCTCAGCAAGCCACCAGAACTCAGCTCCCCAGGGCTGCATCATGAAGTTGCAACGACTGCTGCAGGGCGACAGAAACGACAGTCCCGTCTTACCCATCGACATTTCGGGCGTCCATTCAGACAGATCAATCCGCGCCATGATAGATGATGTGTCGATTTCGGTGGGCATATACGAGCATGAATGTGCAAGGTGCATGTGGAATGAAGTCGTTGATGACTTGGAAGGAACCTTAATTTGAAGTACCGAGCGGGTATATTGACACGCCGCTTCGGTGATATAAACACACTCTCGGGAACTCCCGTCCGGTCGCCTTAGTTTCATCCCAAGTACTTCGTATCTTCTCCTTTCTTTTCCTTTCATATGGTCGGCATCATCCCCAGCACCTCCATATCGACGCTTGCAATTAATGCTACCCACACCGACCATATAGCATCACTGTCTCAGCTCTCGTCCGGTTCATTTCAACCTCCACTGCTTATGTTCAGAAATGAGGCGCTTTTGTTCTCCAAGCCCCACTCGCTCTTGGAGAGCTGCGGGCGCTCACATGCGGGGTATTGTCTCTGCTTACTGGTCTATGTCGAGACGCGGAGGTGGTAATTGAAACGGCAGCTCCCTCTCTCAGCCGTCAACTATCGAGCGCCATATGCACCAGCTGGGCATCGCCCGAGCTGGATTGGTTGTTCATATTCGTATTGTTGATGGAGAGCAGCCAAGCTGATGGGTATTCAACGCCAAATGGCTTGTTCAGCCTTCTCAGCTACGTCTCTCACGATGAGACACTCTAAGCGAGTGCTTCCGAATTGTTCTGTTCTCTAGTACATGTGATGCGAAGGTTGCAGAGGCTTTATGGACGATTCTTACGGACACTGCCAACAAGGAGACGTACTCACGTCTAGCATTGAGAGAATATGTTGTCTGCCAAAAATACCAACTCACAGCAGCAAGATGGTGGAAATCAAGCCAAGGGCTCGTCCGGCGCTGAGAACCTTCCGTCCATCTCCCTACCACAAGGTGGTGGGTCAATTGGAGGCATGGGAGAAAGGTTCCAAGTGAATGGAGCGAGCGGCACTGGATCTCTGTCGATTCCCATCTCGATATCACCGAGTCGCGATAGCTCTGGCCCTACTTTTAGCCTCAATTACGACTCTGGTAGTGGAAATGGCGCATTTGGGCTCGGCTGGAGCACATCTGTTCCCAGTATTACTCGAAAAACTTCACAGGGTCTCCCAAAGTATCTGGATGAAGAGGAATCAGACGTGTTCCTTCTGAATGGTGCGGAAGACCTGGTCCCACTACTGAGGACTAGAGAGAATGGAGACCTGATATACGACAAGATGACGGGCGATCCTATCGTGTACTTGGAAGAGCGCGACGGCTTCGCCATTCAAAGATACGCCCTTCGCGTGGAATCCTCTTTCACTCGTATTGAGCGATGGACAAAAGTGATCGCACCAGAAGTTGGGCAGATCCATTGGAGGACTATCGGGCCAAACAACACCACCAGCATCTTTGGGCAGAATGAGAATTCGCGGGTGGAGAGTTTCCATGTCAAGGATGGTGAGCCAAAACGACGTATTTTCAGCTGGCTGTTAGCAGAAACCTACGATTCTAGAGGAAACGCGACCACGTATGAGTACAAGGCTGAGGACTCTATCGGTGTATCTGAAATTGAACTGAGCGAGCGCGGCCGAACGGAGCAGGGCCGGACAACCAATAGATATTTGAAGTATATCCGATATGGAAATCGTATTCCAAATCGAGACTCAAATTGGAATGCGTTCTCTGCATTTCAACTAAGCAAGCTAGACTGGCTATTCATTGTCGCATTCGATTACGGAGAACACGACAGGGAACGGCCTAGTCTGGAAGAAGAGGCACCATGGTATTGTCGAAAAGATCCATTTTCAACATACCGGTCTGGGTTTGAAATACGTACATACCGACTGTGCCAACGCATCATCATGTTTCACTGCTTTTCAGAGCATCTAGGCAAGAGGCACTATCCCGTAGCTTCAACAATTTTGTCCTACGATGAGAACCTCACCGCGTCTTACTTGACAAGAGTCCAGCGCTTTGGCCACCTGTTGGATCAGGATGATTGTCACAGCAAGGCGTTCCCTCCGCTTGATTTTGAGTACTCTCGTTTTCCCACCAACGCCGAGCTGAGCAAGCTTATGGTGAAAGAACTTGATCCTCCTAGCTTAGCCAACATCCCTGCAGGTATCGATAGTTCAGTATATCGATGGACTGATTTGGACGGGGAAGGTATTCCAGGAGTGCTTATATCACAAAATAACAGCTGGTTCTACAAACGAAACATGGGAACTTGCAAAAGAAATCCAGAAGCCGAGGAGTCCGAGAAGTCTCCAATACTTGGAGCTCTAGAAACAATTTACTCGGTACCATTTGTTGCACCTTCGGACGAGGCAGCCAATTTCACGGATGTACAAGGTGACGGAATCTTGGACTTGGTGTGGATGGGAACCCCAACCTGGGGCTTTTTCAGCAGGAACACTGATTCCGACGTCGGTTGGAACGGCTTTCAAAATTTCCGATCTGTGCCAAAGATCTCTCCAAATCAAACTTTCAAGAGTATCGATCTTACAGGGAACGGTCTTCCGGACATTTTGATGTTTGAAGAAAGCGACTTTCTGTGGTTCCCTTCCCTGGGTGAATTCGGCTATGGGCATAGCTCGCGGACAACTCCTGACTTGGTTGAGAATCTTCCCCAGCTCCTCTTTGCAGATGCCAAGCATTCCATGTATCTAGCAGACATGTCAGGTGATGGTTTGACGGATATCGTTCGGATCCGGAATGGAGAAGTCTGTTTCTGGCCCAATATTGGCTATGGTCAATTTAGCTCAAGAGTCGAGATGGGCAATGTCTCTTGGTTTGCAGACGATGATGCTTTCAATCCAAAGAATATTCGTCTTATCGACATTGATGGTTCTGGTACCACTGACATCTTGTACGTGGGATCCCATGGAGTGGACAGTAAGCAATTTTCTCCTTCGTTCCGTTCTACTGCCATTTGCAAGTGCGGGGTCCTAATCTTTGGCAGTGTACCTTAACCAATCTGGCAACAGTCTAAGTGCTCGAAAGCGTCTGACCATCTTTCCTTCAATTGATGCCAATAGCAGTATCGATGCAGTCGATCTCTTTGGAAATGGGACTGGTTGCTTAGTATGGTCCACATCCCTACCTGGCAATGCCAATGCATCGATGAAGTATGTCGACTTCACCAACGGCTCCAAGCCTCACCTACTGGTGCGCAAAATCAACAATTGCGGCTTAGAGATATCAATTGACTATGCGCCCTCTACCGAATTTTATCTCAAAGACAAGGAAATGGGCCGAAAATGGCTAACGCGCCTTCCTTTCCCCGTGCATTGCGTGCAGAAAGTTGAAACAGTGGACCATGTCAGTCGTGTTCGATTCATGCAACGCTACGCATATCACCACGGCTATTACGATGGCTACGAAAGAGAGTTTCGAGGTTTTGCAATGGTTGATGAATGGGACACCGAAGAAATAGACTTTGCATCATCAACTACATCAGCAGACAACCTTGACCCTGCTTGGCGTCTTCCACCAACGCATACGAAATCTTGGTACCATACGGGCTCGATTCCCGCTAAATCTAAGCCTCCACTGAATTCTGAATACTTTCAACTTGAGAATTCTTTCTTAGGTCGCAAGAATAATCACACTGGCCCCATTCTTGGTGATTCCATTCTTCCGGAGGTTGAGGATTACAATTCGATCAGAGAATGCTACCGAGCACTAAACGGAACGCTTCTCCGCCAGGAGGTTTATGCAGATGACAAAAGCTCGAAGGCGCATATTCCGTATATGATCTCGGAATTCAGTTCTGAGGTTCGGCTGAGACAGCCACTGGATCTTCATGGGCATGCGCTGGCTGTTGTCAATCCCCGGGAAAGTTTGATCATCAATCTAGAGCGTAGCTTGGATGATCCCCGGCTGCGACACCGTATGACCCTCCAGATTGACCAATGGGGAAATGTACTGAAAAGTGTCGATATCTCTTACGGACGAATCTCTAGCCCATTAGTGGGACATGACGCCGCGGTACAGGAAAGAACGCATCTAACACTCATCGAGAACGATATGACAAACCATGTTGATGAAAGTGACGATTATTTGCTTCCAAGTGTATTCGAAACACAATCGTTCGAAATTCTTGGTTGGCAAAACAATTCAAAATGGTTCCAATTTTCTCAGCTGCGGACCGAAAACTTTGCTGACTTCGAGGAAGTCCCTTTCGAGAACTGGAAATGGGATGCTGTGGGAAAACGAAAGCGACTCTTGAACAGATCACGTATTCAATACCGAAGCAATGACTTGCGAAGGGTATTGCCCCTAGGGTGTATGGAAAGCTTGGCTCTTCCCGGGCAAACATTTTCTTTGAGGCTCACACCTGGGCTTTTGAGTCTATACAATAGAGAAACACCTGATGGTTCAAATGGAGAGCTAATTCCAGATCTTTGTGACACGCTTGCAACCAAGGGGAGATTTGTGGATCTAGATTCTGACGGGAATTGGTGGACTCAATCAGCGACTACCTATTTCTCCGCTGAAGACACAACTCCGGAGGAGGAGCTTTCAGTTGCCAAGACAAACTTTTGGCTCCCACTTCGAACCATGGATCCGTTTGGCAATAGCCACACTGTCGAGTATGACCAATACAATCTGCTTCCCATTGAGACAGTCGACGCTCTCGGGAACAAAGTTCGATGTTCTCATGACTATCGTGTCCTCTTTCCACACTCCATCACTGATCCCAATGGTAACATCTCCAAGCACGTTTTCGATGAGTTGGGCTGTATAACTGCCACTGCTGTGATGGGTAAACCTGGGGAGGACGTTGGCGATTCATTGGATGATTTCAAGCTGGCCAGTGCAAACGATCTTCATCAATTTTTCACGAAACCAGAAGACCAGATTGCAAGGAAGCTGCTTGGAAATGCTACCACACGAACACTCTACAATATCTTGCAATACTGGCTTGAACCGGATCCCGCCCAGAAACTGCCTATAGTAAACGCAACGATATCGCGAGTCACACATGCGAGCCACAGTATCCCCGAGGCTGTCAAAATGCAAATCAGTTTCGCTTACCATGATGGATTCGGTCGCGTATTACAGGTCAAGGCACAATCAGACTCCGCCAAAACAATGGATGAAGTCTGGTTGACAAGCGGATGGAGTATTCTTAATAACAAAGGAGGTCCAGTGAAACAATACGAACCATACCTTGACAGCACCCATAATTTCATTTTTGGCAACGAGGTTGGCGTTTCTTCCACCACAGTTTACGATCCACTTGGCCGTTCGATTGCCGTTCTCTATCCCGATCATACTTTCAGCAAGACCAATTTTGACAACTGGATGACTAAAACGTACGATGCCAACGACACGGTGTTGATGAATCCTAAAAAAGACTCAGACATCGGACATTTTCTTCGGCTGTTGCCAGATTCAGAATGCCTTCCGACGTGGTACGAGAAACGTATAGATGGTAGCATGGGCCGACCAGAACAGCTTGCAGCCATACAATCTGCCTCGCACGCTGATACACCATCGGTCTCCCACTTAGACTCTCTCTCCATGGACTTCCTTGCTATTGATGACAATGGAGCTGAGGGTCTATACGAAACTCGCTCTGAGTGTGATGGACAAGGGCTAGTAAGAAAAGTCGTAGATCCAGAGGGCAGAATCGTCGAGTGCTCCGACTACGACATGTCTGCCACCATCATCCACAAATCGAACATGGAATCAGCTGAAAGATGGGTATTGTTTGACACCTCTGGTGCAACCTTTTTGAGTTGGGACTCTCAGATGCATCGAGTCGAGAATGTGTATGATGCTCTACGGCGGCCTGTCAAATCGATCTTGCAAGCCCCGGAACATGACAGATTGGTAGTAGATTGTATCGTGTATGGAGAAAGTGTCTCAAACGCAGAGGATCACAACCTCCGCGGTCGACCGATCAAGATATGTGACCAGGCTGGTGTCGTTTTCCAAGACGAATATGATTTCAAGGGGAATCTGGTGTGCTCAAAACGGCAAGTCGCAAATGACTACAAGAACTACCTAGACTGGGACAGTGATGTTGCTTTAGAACCGGCGGTGTTCGTATCAACGACTTCTTTCGACGCCCTAAATCGTCCTGTCAAGATAGTGATGCCAGACAACTCCAAGCTGTGGCATCATTACAACAAAACTGGCTTGCTGCAGTCAGTGACTGCTCAAGTCAAAGGGGAGGGGGAAATTGTTACCTTCGTCCGCAATATAGAGTACAATGCCAAAGGGCAGGAGGTTTGCATTGAATTCGGCAACAACACAAAGACTACCAGATCTTACGACCCGTTGACTTTCCAACTGACCAAATTGGTAACCCATCGAAGTTCAAGATCATTCCCGGGTGATTGTACAGAATCTTCCAAACCATCATGGCCAGGCTCCAATCTTCAGAACTTACACTACACACATGACGCTACTGGGAACATAACCTATTTGAAGGATGATTCTCAACAGACCATCTTCTACCAAAACAAGCGTGTGGAGCCAAGCACCGAGTATACGTATGATGCTCTTTCCAGACTTGTCAAAGCTTCTAGTCGTGAACACCAAAGTTCGTCGGACTTTGGAGGAATTTCCAAATACGTCCAGCATCCACAAGATGGTCGAGCGATGAACCGATATGTGGAGACGTATCGTTATGACAAAACTGGAAATATTCAAACGATGCGCCATGAAGGAAGCGGCGAGAATCAGTCATGGACAAGACGCTACGAGTACGCAGAACGAAGCTTACTGCAGCCAGAAAAGTGCAACAACCGTCTCTCATACACGTCCACCGGCTCTGTAACGCAGGAATATAAATACGAAGGGCTCGCTGGACTTCAAGGAAATGCTACAGCTGTCCCTGGTCTCCCAGTCATGAAGTGGGATTACCAAAATCAGCTTCGCATGACGGCCAGACAGAAGGTTAGCAGGGAAGATGGGACGCCAGAAACTACATGGTACGTGTACGACTCTTCCGGTCAACGAGTCCGCAAAGTCGCAGAACGACACGCCGGTCCAGGTGAGGAGCCAACCAAGCTTAAGGAACGTCTCTACGTTGGAACTGAAATCTTTCGACGTTTCAATGGTTGTGAAGAAGTCACTCTGGAGCGAGAAACATTGCATATCGGCTCGAACGCTCTAGTCGAGACAAGGACTATCGGTGAAGAAGCACATACACCTCGCCAGCTCGTCCGATACCAGATTCCGACCACCCTGTCTTCTGTTTCTCTTGAACTGGATGATCAAGCACGCATTTTGACATATGAGGAGTACACTCCTTACGGAAGCACCTCGTATAGTGCAGCTCAATCTAGTCTGGAAGCTCCCAAGCGGTATCGATACACAAGCAAAGAACGTGATGAAGAAAACGGGCTGTATTACTATGGAGCTCGCTACTATTCTCCTGATGTGGCCCGATGGATCAACTGCGATCCGGCAGGTCTGGAAGATGGCTTGGATGTCTACGTCTACGTTGGATGCAATCCGATAAACTTCAACGATCCAGATGGACTGAGTGGCACACCAGAAGATATCAAGAAGAAACTGAAGGAACCGAAACCTAAGGGTAAAGTGGTGAGAAGCGCGAACATGATAATCAATCATTTCACGAGGCTTCCTCCGGGTAGTTTCTTAGGTGCTGAAGGTCGTCCTATCTCTTCCAGCAGCTCCTCTTCCAGTAGTTCTTCTAGTAGTTCTTTCACAAGCAGCAGCTCCAATACCTCTGTCACTGCACCACTTGCCAGCTCAAGCGCTGTGCAGCCGTTCCACTCCTCCGCGTCCTCACCAGCAACCACACCCTATAGCTATAGCGCGCAAAGTTCTTCTGGTTTGACCAGCTCCAGCAGCTCCAGCAACTGGGGTAATTGGGGTAGCGCCAGTAGCTCCAGTAGCAGCTCAAGCTCATCTTCGTCATCATCAAGAGGTTATGATTTGAACGCACGCATCACGCAAGCTTCGAACATGAATGCTACGCGACTTGCCATGGCAACAGCAAATCCACCAGGAAAAAGTCCAGACCAGAGTCACAGAGTTCCTTTGGCATTCAAGGTGCTGACGGACGAAATCGACCGGAACTTGGAGGATAGATCACTAGTAATCGGGATCAACTCGTATCACAACTTAAGAGATATGTCTAGTGACAGACATAGCTGGCTAACTTACCAGGGATATGATGTGATCTGGGAAGCTTTCATTCGGAACGACGGAGACCTAGCTTATCATCTCAACGAGGGAGATGCATTATCGGCCAGGAACAGGATTATGGCTTTCTTGAACCACCTTGAAGGCAGGCTACAGATTACTGACAGCATTTCTCTCATAAAGTATCAATACGAGGACGAGCGAGTTGCAGCTTATGAGAAGATTTATGCTTACAGATTGGACAACTCTAAACCGAAACCAGCCGAAAACGATGAGGCGATCAGGATCAAGGGAGACCGGTGGGCTCTTGGCGTAGAAAAGGCAGCGCAATTGCGAGAGGGTATCCGAATTAAGCATGAATTGAGCATAATACACGACGTCGAAATGCACTAGAAACCCAGCTTAAGCTGTGGTTTCCTTCTGTTCAAGACTGGCAGGATTTCTTGAGACTTCACAGGCGCGAAATTGGCGGCGACGGACTCGCACGAGGGCGATGGTCACGCATTATGGGCGTGAGTACGATTTGTTGAGGTTTCGAAGGAGGAAGGAGCATACTGATGACTACTTACGATTTTGTCATTGGGCTACAGATGTGTCTTCCTTGTCTCTCCTATGCAATATTCTGTTCTTTGGTCGTCACATGACTCGACGATGCACATTCTCTTTCCGTGAAATATATATAATAAATACACTCGTTACAATATCATCGTTCCCGAAAATATACTTGGTTCATCGTACACCAGAACGAAATAAGACAGAAAACGTTACCCTCGCTACCTCACGTGGTTGCCAGGCATTGAATTCCTCCCTTCAAATCTCTTCGTCGGCGCTGCCCGCATCTCCATCGACCCCCACACTCACCCATAGGGCTCGAAACCTCCTGTTTGACCACAATCTCCTCGTGGGATCATGCTCCACGGTTCACCGCAATTATATGATACTCACCGCTGATATTTGTTTGTTCTGGTCAAGGGCGATTCCCCAGTCAGCCGGTGCGGGCCGTTGCTGACAGGTCCGGATCAAAGATGCACCAGATGCACCAGATGGAGCAGATGCCACTCTATCTGCACGTGTGGAGATGGGATGGATTCGATCACACCGCCAGGCACACAACTCTCTGCCTCCTCGTCTCTTGACTCTCTGGGCTCTCCACCGACAATTATTTCCTTGTATGAGGATCTGGAACATCTCCAATCTTCTCTCACGGCTCCGCGTACCCCGTTTCACGCCTGCGGGTTCTACTTCTACTTCTATTCTTGCGCAGCGATGTCTCAGTCTCGACGATTGGTCCAGCGCTGAGCGCGTGGCTCTTGGGTGCACTGCCGAGGATCTGTACCTCATTATTGCCTTTCCTTCTTCCCTTCTGGCGAGTTTCAGCTGAGGTTTGTTGTCACGAGGGGATTGGCGACGTCGAGAATGGCCATCTTCACATGCCAGCGATGGAGGTGGACGGCTATCCTGGAGTCTTTCATGTGTAAATGAAAGGGTCCTCTCTGTTTGGAAGTGGGAAGTATGAGCGCTTGACCTCCTCATATGTCATGCTGCAGTGCGTAAATGCTCTCTCGATATATATTGAGAAGCCCACACCACATCCACATCCCACAGACGACTTTCACACTCAACATTCCCGCCTGTTTCTGGAAGACTCATCCGCCCGCGCCCACCGCTTCTTGTCGGCAGCATCGTCCCAGAGCACCTTCAGTCACCATAGGCTGGGTTTGATGATTCGAGAATCCACCAGGCGACATCGGTCCAAGCCTCGCAATAATTCCAGCGAGACATTCCCCACTCCTGCAGCTGGCCTGCATCGTAAACTGCTGCGGTGCAGCGCCGTGCGTTTGTGGCGGTCAACCACCAAACACATCTAGTCATCGCTGTGCAGGTGCAGCGTGCAGCTGTCAACAGAACCCAAATCAGACAATTTGGTCACTGTGTCGATCTTGCCCCTGGGAAATCGGCATCTCCTCGCAGTAGTTGGGAGTTTTCCTCTTCTCACGGCTTCACGAACATCGTCGATATACTTTTCTACCGACGCTCCAGGAAAAGGCAATTTCGACCCCTCCCTCGCCCTCAACAAGCTTAAAGTTGGTCGTGGACGCTAAGATATCGGGCCTGAGAGTGGGGTTTCCCTCCTTTATCGGTCACTATCGACGGCCAACAACTCCCTAAAGTCTTTAGATTAACATCTCACCCCCCCTAGTCACGACTATTCACAGTGCCTGAGCCGAGAGCACTGAAGTGTCGGTCACGATCACCCTCCCAACATCGTGAGAGATTGGTGACGGGGATACCTTGCCGTCTTGGCGCAGGGTCTCGAATCACTCACTGAGATTCGAATTCCGTCATTGCGTCTTGGGGAACTATTGGGGTACGGCAACGGCACCGTTCTAGCTGGGATACAATAACTTCGTCCATTCCCGCCCCACCACCAATAACTTGACAACGCAGAGCAAATCTCTTTTCTGCAACTTCTCTCGCACACAAAAGAGTTTCGAGATTCCAGCAACATATATGGATCGGTTATGAAGGCAGTGTGTCGGATAGATACAGGATTTCCCGGCGCCAGAAATATTTTCGACAGCACTACCCGCTCCAGTATCGAATCAGCTTTCGAGCTGTCAAAGAACTCAAGATGGTCAACGCATCACAGAACACGAAACACCACCTTTCTCCCTTAAACACTAGTTGGCATAACCGATCCATGTCCAGCATATCTGCCACCTCAGAAGCTGCAACCTTCCATTCGGCCCACGCACATCTTTCAAATATGGAATTACGTCCCATGTCCCAACCACTACATCCACATATCCGTCCCGTATCTCCTCCTAGCAAACCTCTTGCCTCACCAAAGCTCGAATCCATCAAGATGGACCGTCAAGATTCTGGTTACTTCGACTCTCGACAATCTCCATCCTCGTCTCGTCGAACATCAATAGCATCATCTACCCGCCGTCCCCATTCACCCTCCAAATCCAAAAGTCGGAGGACTACAAACGGATCGACACACTCAGCCTCTAGACCATCCACGAAACGGAACTCGAGATCATCAGCTCAGATCAGAACAAGTACATCAGGAGCGAGACCGAATATCCAACAAAGACATACAACCCCATATGCTCAAGTCCCCCACACCCAATACCAATTCTTCCAATTCCCTACGCTCTCGGACCCTGTTCCTGACCCAGACATTGTAACCGCTCCTCAGCCGCCCCCAGCGACGGTGCAATACTGGACTTCGGACTCAACTCGACGTCTCGAGTACGCGGCTATTGATGCGGCATCCAAGGGCGTGAGAGGGTTCTTCATCAAATTGGTACCGGACTGTATCCTCCCCGCGAATTCAAGAAGGACGAGATTCCACTGCGATGATGCGGCGAGTGATGCGGGGAGTGTAAGGAGGTACAGATTAACGTTACCAGCAGAGGAGAAGGGGGTATGCGATAGCAGCGCGCGGGACTGTGGGGTGGGAGGATCAAGAAGAAGTGGAGGGTTGTTGAGAAGGTGGACTTCATCATTTGGAAGGAGAGCTTGAAGGGAGTAATGACACGAAGATACGAGACACGATTCATAGATTGGAAGGAGTGAGCATTTGAGGAGCGTACAGTACAGGTGCATGCATACTTGATACCCGAGATGGACGGCGGTTGGCATACTTGCGTTTTAGGGGAGTTATATACCATTGCTGCTTATATGCATATATGTTTCTTTTGTTTAGATGGTGTTTTGGGTGGAGGGATTTGAGGTTTAGTATCTTAATGCAGATGGAAAACAGGACATGGCTAGGGATAATATGGGTAGAGAGATGAAAGATTGAACAGCGTGGTTGGGAGTGGAGGTAGATAGATGATTAAGATGAGCTACCTAATATGCCGTGTCCCGTTTGTGTGAGGTTACTTCCGCTATAGCTCTCAAGTGGAGTGGGGTAAAGCCACGAGATAGTGTCACTACTTTGTCACGAAGCAAAGGCCTGAGATCTATTCATGACTTGAACACAGCTCCAGACCCTCATCTTCTATAGTAGCGTAAGCATGACTCTAAGTCCTGAAATCCATTCACAACTTTGGTGTACATTGATGTTCTCAACTACTTTCACGACTCACATGACCCCGAGTCCTGAGATTCTAATATATTTTACTCATCATTTCAAGTCCTACCCTGGTTTCACGACTTTTGGAGAGTCTAAAATGTGGAAATTCATTCAGACTTTCTGTAAATAATAATGCTCCAGAGCATGTCGAATTCTTCCATTGTTACTAATTCCTGATATTGAGATCTAATTTCAATGTAAGTACAAGTTCTGAAATTTTGTCACAGATAATGTGGGGAGCTAAGTTCTAAGATTCAGTCCCGACTTAAGTTGAAAGGAAGTACTAAGACCATGTTGCAATTTACAAGTGGCTAAAGTGTTTAGCTGTCAAACTTATTTTTCTTGGTTTGGTACTAGTGTATTTCTCCCTGGGTTCATTTTATTGTTGTTAACCTTAAGTTTTATTTACATCTATGTTCTGTCTTCTGTTTTCTCTCTTTACATCATCTCTAATTAATACTTATCCCAATTCTTTGTAGATATAGAGAGCCCCTGACACCGACAACATCCACCGCCATATGCTGAGAAGACGGGTTACTAGCGAACTTGGAGACCGTTTATAAAAAGCCTCTCACCGCCTTCTTCTCTTTAACCAACAATTAAAATCGTTTTATTAGCATAACTTCATACTGGACCTAGCGCCTGGCTCTTTAATAAAAGTGAATAAATCAAAACCGAACTTCAGCGAAAACAAGAGACTAGCGGAGTTGAAGGTCGTCTATAAAACCCTCACCACCTTCTCCCCTCGAACCAACAAACAACATCGTCCCATCAGCACAGCTTCATACTGGACCTGGCTCCGTGGCTCCGTGGCGCCTGGCTCCTCAACCAAAACTCTCACTAAGAGTGAATAAATTAAATCCAATTTCAGCGAAAAACAGAGTCCAGCGGACCTGGAGACCGTATATAAAAAGCCCCCTCACCGCCTTCTTCCCCGAATTAACAACCAAGATCGTCCCATCAGCACAGCTTCATACTGGGCCTGCCTCCGTAGCGCCTTGCGCCTCCCTAGCTTGAAAGATGATTTTATGTCTGATTTTCTTGCATGAAGTTATCTGGCTGTCCATAATGGTTTGCTGTTGCCACAGTTGTTGAAACGTCGACAGTAGAACAGTAGTTGGCAATAAATAAACAGTCAATAATAGATAAACAATTGACACCAATAATTACTTTCGCTAATCATCCTAGCTGCCAGCTTAATTTTAAACTAATGTGTCCTGCATGTATAAAGACGGACAAACACGAGCATCACAGCTATGTCCTAATGAAAATATAGATATTGCGGCAATAAATGCCCATGGATGAAGCAAGTAGAAGCAGCGTTCAGGATGTAAGTTCAACTTAGAAACGGTGATTATAAGCATTTATGGAATATAAGTATGAGCTTGAAATTATGAGTTTGAGAGCTTCAATTATAAATTATGAGATCTGCGACGTGCAACAAAAATAAAAAGTCTAGTCAGATGAAGATGAAGCTGAACTTACATTTCTAGCTCGGAGCAGGTCACGACGTGAGCACGTGACAGCAGGGAAATGAAAGTACCTACCCCAGCCATCTCTTGAATTTCTCAGCTGAGACTCCGTAATTACCACTCCTAGAGATCTAGAAAAACAATAAGAATGAGTTATAAGTCTTTTCATCAGGGAGCTTAATGAGTAAGGAGCTCGAGAGAGCCTCCTGGTAAGCGCCAACCGTGATTCACTCGGATGTTTTCCCTTCAAACGCATAACAATGACGCTCATCAATGCCAAGCCAAAACAAGAGTGATCGTTCGTATAAGCTTGAAATAGTACACTCCTTTAGTTTCCAGCCACGACCCAGCGCCGAATGATAATTGCCCAGTGTTTCTATAATACCCCTTGTCCATCTAGGAACACCCTTACGCCAAACGCCGTACCCGAGTGTCAACCATGCAGCATGAACACGGGATGAACCTTCCCGCATCAACCAAACACCACAAAACATTAGATCTACAGATCCGACCCAAACATTCTATGACCGACTCGCAATGCCATTTCCGATCTGCGACTGGTACGCAACAGCAGCGACAAGCGAATCCAGAGCTGAGCTCTGCGTACTCGCATTCGCTGGCGTAACGAACGGTCCCGACCAATCCACACTCAACTCATTCGTCGAATCTCGATCTTTCGTCCAGATGCTGTTTGCGTTCGACGCAATAAAGCTCAGATAAGTGGCATCCGGAGCAGCGCCCTGCAGGATTTGCAGGTTCCGCATGAAGATTCCCTTGAATTGGGATCCATCCGCCCCACAATTCGGCTCGCATGGATCATGCAAAACGCCATTGGAATCTCCAAGCGCCTTGATCGCTGCTGTTGCGATGTTCTTTGCTGACGTGAGATAGCTGGAGTTTGGTGATGCTTTGTCGAGTTCTACCAGCGCGCCAAGAACCACGCCTTGGTTGTAGGACCAGACGGTTCCGCCGTTGTTCTTGCACGTGGTGAAGTTGAGACCGTCGTTGATGGTGTTTTGAGAGTTGATCATCCCGGTGCTTTGGAACCATTGCCATTGCTTGGTTGCAATGTTGGTGTAGAATTGTTTTTGGCTTCCCATCCGATTTGCAAGGTGAGCGGCGACTGAGAGGTAGAGCTCGTTGGCAATGGCGTTGACATAGGTGTTCTTCTTGTCCCACCAGATTCCGCCTCCACACTTGGGCTCGGTTCCATTCATCATGTCGTTAAAGATGTCCACAGCGGTAGTGAGATAATCTTGGTTGCCCGTGATATCGTAGGCTTGGATCCAGTTGAGAGCCCACCAGCCCTCGTCATCGTAGTAGCCATTGAGGAATCCTTTGGGGTTGATAGCAGCTTCTACTTCGACATTTGCTGGGACATTGCTACCCATGAATGTCTCCTGGTTGAAATCCGGTGTGATGACCTTGGTCTGTTGAAGATTGTAGTTCTGAGCTGCAACAATTGAGTTCGCCAAGACAGAAGTCACTTGAGACTTGACTTTGGAATCGAGTGCTGCAAGATCTCCGAGCGTTGTGAGTGCATTGGCACTATTCCACCATCCAGTCGTGTCGTAGATACCGGTACTGTTGTCATACCATTTTTGCAGTGTGGTGAAGGTGGCTTCTGCATTTGATGTGTAGTCTGCAGTAGCTACTGTAGACAGCTGGCTCACCGCAACAGAAACAAATAACAACTGACGAAATTTATCATTCATCATTACGAATAATGCCAAGAGAATTTGCTTGCGAGTTCCATTTTCGCTCGCTGGAAGGGACGAGTTGATATAGGAAGAGAGATTGAAACAGAGGCAGTGGGTCAAGTCGCACAGCCCTTCCCCTAGGGAACGAGACTCGAAACCAAGAATGATTGACATGTCGGCGCATGGGCATGCCGGCAAGTGTATGCTAGTCCAAAAGCAAAGACGAACTCATCTCACGTAGTATTCTGCAATTGTTTGAGCGTGAGTGGTGAGGGAGGACTGAGTGCGTGAGTGAGGGAGGAGTGGTGAGGCAGGGTAAAGTTGACAAATGATCATTGGGCCGGAAGCGGAGAAGCTCAATTCCCCGCCATGTTGGCTGACTCGTATTTTGGCTCCCCATGATCCCTTCAACTACTTCCATCGCTCGCCAGAATACATCCTCAAATCCTACGTTACAGAATTATCGAAAGGATTTATGCTGGAAATAGGAATGGCTCGGGAGAAGGAGCCTATTAGCGTGCCTGAATAGAACGTAAGTGGCTGCTTCTTTGCTGATGATCTTCTCTTAAGGCTACTGCTGACCGTCTCCAGCCACGCATGCGCCTTCTTGTGCCCTGTTGCCCAGCACTAATGGCCCTATGGATATTACTTGCGATCTTTATTCCGACGCAGATCTTGACCTTCTCGTCTTTCTACAGCAGAATGCGACTTCGAACTTAGGACGACAGGTCTTGACGATCTTCATGCTTTACTAAGAACCGACTTCTTTTTCTTTCGACGCACATATCCACGGCAATTAGGCATTCAATCGGCTGAGGATCCGGTAAACAAGTACCGGACCTTCGCCATCGAATCTCTCAAGTAATATCTTGCTCATATGCATCTCTGTTGACCTTTCTATTGGGAACCAAAGCTGCAAGCTGTCATCTCCTTTCCAAGTCATAATCTCATGATCAATTAGTGCTGCAACTCGGATATACTTGTCGCGAGGTATTGTTTTCATATGCTGGATTATGCCAATTCAGGCAAAGATCACACCCATTTTCGGATTGATCACCTCAAGCGAGGTCAGTTAACGTCCTGCACCTTTGGTGGGGTAGTGGGGAGCATGCAATACCGAAGCATGTACCGCGGATCATTCAGTCTTACATCGTGATCATGGCATCTACGTCTTGAATATCTATTATGGCTTTGAAGATCTGTTGTGTTGTGCAGAAATCATCTCATGACATCTGAGGGTTTGCATCTAATGGTCAAGTTCATGCCAATCTTGGTGCGCATCACTCATATTGCATTAGCGGTTCACAAAATGATGTCTTTACTCGAACTTTCTACTTTTTTTCTCCTTAGAAAATACCCCATCCTCATCCACCAGTTGATCATTTTGGATCACGTGTTTACTTATTATTGCCATCTTTGTGGGTGTCAACGCATGTCCTGCCAATATCTTGGAGTTCGTGCTAAAAGTTTTTCTTGCCCTGACTTTCGGGTCGGCACAGACTGCCAGCTTCGTGTACCTGTTTTGGAGATGGGATGAGTTCGGCTTGGCACGATGCCGATAACAAACTGACACAGAGCAAAAACATGCTTTGACCTTCTGCATCCGAGCGCAGCCTTGATATGGAACTCTTGGTCCCAACTCGGGAAAGTTTTTCCGTTGTGTTCCGATCTTGCCGTTCTTCTTGAAGCATATTTGTATTCGGATTGGTATCAAGTACGCGTATTCGTTGTTGATACACCTCGCTTCTCCTGTCAGACTTCAACATCTTACATTTTAGGAAAGGAAGAGGAATCTCTGTCTACAGTGTCTATTACTTTAAACTGCACACAAAATGTTCTGCGATTTTGGTATAAAGTCTATCTGAAGATTTTTGTTCATGAATCTCGGAGTTTGTGCGGTTCGGCAATTTGCGAACGACGACGGTGCATTTTTCTGTTCTATGGCAAGCGCTGTCCAGCATCACCTCGCACAGTGTATGCAATACGAATTGAATTTTTATCCTGAGCAATGAAATATGGTATCTAAAGATCGCCATCATCTTTATTTCTTTCATTTCTTGTTCAATACGTGTATTTAAGCAGTCAGGTGACAGAAGCCATGTCAAATTACCAAACATTAACTCTCTCTCCCGAGAGCCTCAACGCCATCTGTGATCCTGATATCACCTTGAGCAGACATGAGACGTAGATCCGTTCAACTCCTCAAGTCTGACGAGCTTCGTCTTCTACGGTCTTCTCGTTGAAGTCGCCTGGGACAACGACACAAGTACAATCCAAACGCATCTGACGTCCAAACTGCAAGGCCAAGGCACCACCATCGCCCAAGTCTTCATGAATCCAACGTTCAAACGGTGCCAAACCGTAGCTTTGACTGTTCATTGTGTTCGCGATAGGTGCATGGCATGGGCATGTTGTGGTTTGTGTGTTGCTCCTCAGCGGTGGCGAGAAGTCTTGATAATGATGGACACTCTCATCAGGATGAGTCTGAATCCAAGCCGACACAGAGATCAAATCAGTATATGCGTAAGCCGATGCATCATAGGTCTCTGTGGTGTTGCTTTGAGATGTGTTCGAAGTGGAGGTTGAGGTATGGGAGACGTAGCTGGGGCGCGAGGTTGGTGCCTGCTCAGCTCTATGTTTGGAGGAGGAGGAGGAGAGTTGTTTTTGCCTCTTGCGAGAAGAGGGAGCGGAGGTTGAGGGTTGTCTTGGATGCTTCAAGACGATCGAAGAGTGGCCTGAGCTTCTTTTGGGGTCATGGTTGCTGTCTTTTCTGTCAAGAGAAAGACATAAGTATGTGGACAATGCCTAAGAGGAGCATAAAATACGACTCACACTGCTTTGTTTCGAGAAGACATCTTGGAAGCCGAGTTGAAAGGGAAGGACCAAAGTGGAGAACTTCAGGTGGAGAGTCAGCGTACTTGAAGCGATCAAGGTAGGTGTATGCTTGAGGTCAGATGCTGTGAAAACTCGAGGGCGGTCGGAGAGATTGTGAAGTCTTATATACCTATATCACTCTCACAGAGTGCGGTGGGCAAGAGCACCATAAGTGTAACATCTGGCGGAGGATCTAGTGGGTAGAATAGTTGTAGTCAAGGGAAACTGACGCCCAACTTCAACGGCTCGATCGATCGAATGCAACACCGAGTTCCTTTTACAAGCAAGATGGACGAGTTGTCGTGTCCCGTGTGGTCAGCTTCATTGAAAAGACCCAGCAAAGGAATTGATTGCAGGGGTCAACAATCGTCGGTGTGTTGGACAACGATGCAATATTAGCAGGCTCCGTTGAACAGTGCTCTTATCTGGACCCATCTTGAGATGATTCGAAAGTCTGATTGGGTAAATGACTTTTGTCTCGCTTGGTCTTGGGGTATTTCCCGCTCTCGACAGACCTCACTCAAGGATGCTGACTCTATACACGGCAAATGATACATTAATGAGAGTTTTTGGTTGCTTCCGAGAAGTTCTCAATCCATGGTATGCAGCCTGGAAATTCCAAGTGGAGTCATTATCAAGTTGGACGGGCTGCTCGGTCGTACGTACAATATATGGCACTGCTTCAGACTTAAGGCGGACCCGTGGGATTGTCGGGGCTGTCGCCAATGCTTGATTGGTCAGGTCACTTTTGTATCTGCATTGCGTGGGGACGTGATTTTGGGTGGCGTTTCTCCTGCCATGCATTTGCGCATACGTGCATCTGTGGCGGTTGTTGTTTTCGGTTTCGAGTATCATGGTGCTCCTTTATTGGATAGAATACTTTTGTCTGACTGGGGTCGGCACACTACAACACTTCGACCCCTTGAGATGACATGGTAAGGCTTTCAGTCCTCTTCACCTCTCAGTTAAAGTCCTTCCTTTTCACGATTTTCACTCATCCGCAACACTTTCAATTGGTTAAATGACTTTTGTCGTGGGCGGAATCAAACCTGACGTTGACCGCTTAGAAAAGATCATTACGCCCGGCTTGGATGCCCTATTTACTTCGCTTCAGCTGCCTAGACTTTGTACCACCTGGAGAGCCTCGTTGATTTTTCTCTCCCATTCGGATTCAATTTCTTCTTTCTGAAATATTGTTGCACTCTTGCCACGCCGTCAAGGATTCCTTCTTGCATAGCCAATTTCAATTGACGATGGACGGCATCGCGGGACCATCAGTTGACCAGCTCAATGCTCCATATGCGGAGAGATGGGGGCTGTTGAAGGAGGTTATGGTCCGACTGTTCCTGGAAGAAGGGAAGAAATACAAGGAGATTGTCAAAATCATGGAAATAGAATACAAATTCTATGCGACGTTGGTATTCTCTATTGTAGGATGGGGATTTCCAGCTGACATTTGCTTCATTCATAGAGAAAACCAATACAAGCGTCAATTCGGTGCTTGGAATGTGAAGAAAGCCCTGCCCACGAAGAAAAAGATCAAGATTAGTAAGGAGATGGAAACAAGAGCCCAGCAAGGCAAAGCTTCTATGTTGCTGTACAATGATAAGATGGAGAACCAGAAGATCCGAAGGTATATGAAAAAACAAGGAAGACGGGATATATCCATATGGACGAGTGGAGCTGTTGACATTGAGAACTTGACTGGACATGCACTACAGACTGGCAACAGAGTGTGAGGACTTCTTTTTCTGCTGAATTCTCCTACGTACTGACTTTGAGTATAGATTCATGAATTGGAATTTACCTTCTGCTGTCTTGCGCTTCTTGAACTCGAAAGCGAAGGATCACATTTCGCCTAGTACGTCTCGTTCTTTCCTTCTTCTCCGACGACAGATACCCAAAGCAGTTGTTTCCCGTTTCTTCTCTTTTGCTTCTTCCTCGCAAGATAAATCCTGATTTGGAAAACTCCAGATCCTTCAGTTGGAACTCCAATGAGCGGTGTCTTGGTAGCGACACCTTCGTCCAACTCTGGACCGTCTCCTAGAAACCCTTCGTCCCCTAGCGACGCCCTGTCACCAGACCAAGAACGATCTGCCATGACAGCTACAGTCAAAGAGAGTCTAAAAGTTACTCGAGCACATCTTTTCGTCCAAAAACATCACAAAGATCTCTTTCGAGGGATGAACTTGCAAGAACAATGGTATGTTGAGAAGTCTTCGTTCGTGATTGACCCGCTAAACCTCGACAAGTGTGGTCACTGATTACTTCAATCAATTCTGGCAACACTCTTTCGTTACAGCCAAGAATTGGGGTCACGGGCCGAGAACTTGGGATGCGTCAACTCTCAAGTTCAATCAATTCTCTCAGCGAAATATCGACAGCCTTCCTGGCACTCCGGCCATGAATACTGATACCCTCAGGCACTCTCACCACCAGAGTCCGAAGCAACACCACTCACTTGGGGATCATGTTCCAAGCCCAAGCGATCTATGTCGCTGGAGCATTCATGTGCTTGAGATGGAATATGATCCCATCCACTCGCCTGAACCGGCGGAAGAGCAAGTAGTCCCAGACCCAGATAATAAGGACACATGGAGATCTTGGCAGAACCCTGGAAGCATTCAAGACTTCGCAGAAACCTTGGAGAAATCCCTGGAAGGTAACAAGTTTAGCACCATCGAAGTCAAAGAACTTCCAATATCGATCGGCCAGATCATTCGAGCTGCGAAACGGTCCCCGGAACAATTGTTGGAGGAAGCATTTGGATTCAGTATCATGGCACGAAACATAGATCTGGTTTCTCAAATGGGAGAGCATCTACACGACAACCGCGACTTATCATTCCATGATCTATATCCTCTTCATCTGGCTGCTAGCTATCTGGATGGGACGAAGACCTGTTGCTTGATTTTCCACGAACTCGTACACTCGATGGTGACTGGCGAAGCATCTGTTCGGAAGCTATACACGAACCATCTCAACCACACAGTGCTCGACAATCTAATGCTCACTATTCTCAAGGCCCACACATTCTGCCCTCCTGTGATGGTCGATGATGCCTTCAAGAAAGAGCATCGATTCGCAGGAGAAGAAGTGGACATCTGTGGAAGATGGGATGCCGATTCGGACTGCATCCGTCACCTTCAGGCAAGTGGCAGTCCCACAATACCTCGAAGTTGGAAGCATATGTTCTGTCACACTTCTGCTCAAACTATAACCCACTGTGTTGGCACTCTTTTCTATCCTCATTGGAAGCCCGACATTAATACGCCTAGCGGTCTCTTTCTCAAGCGTTGTCCGAATGAAACTTGCGGCATGAAGCTCCAACTGAAGCCCCTCCATACTCTTGTTGTCACAGCAGTCTATCTCGCACAGTTTGGGACTGACGGAGAGAATCTTTTCGGAATAGTAGCAAGCCTACTCAGTCTCCTGAGATTCGGCGCAAATCCACTTCTGAAAGCTGATATTTCGCCCATCGCATTGCTAGGTAGCGATACGGGCCTAGAATGTACACATTCGGAGCTCGATCCTTTTGAGCTTGCACAGCGCGTTCCACAAGAGCTTATTTCACAATGGCCACAAGGGAGAGTTGTCGGCTGGAAGATATTCTGCCATGTGCTTCGTTTGTCGCAGAATGATTGGGACCCTCCAGCTGTCCCCGGACCTGCCGCCGATACTTTGAGAGATGATCTGCGAGATATCTACGCTTTCGTTGAAGATGAGGACGATGAAGTGATAATGCGAAGCTTCGATGATCGCGAAGTCAACAGCGAAACCCAAAACACTGATGTCACAGATGATTTGGATGATGGAGAGGAATTCCCTCTGTACTGCCCGGAACATGAAATCGACAGCTACTTCGGCAAGAACAAGACACTGATCACATTGTGGGCAGCAGTCCAAACTGAGCTCCTGACCTACAGAAGACTTGCAGCAGGCGATCCATGGGTTTCAGCTAATTTTGATATGCTTTCTGTCCTTAAAAGCTTAGAGACGGGTGCCGAGCTCTCCATTAAGCTCGTTTCCAAGCAAATGATGAAGCCAGCCTGTTTTTGTGGCACGTTTGCTGAGCAGAACCATTCTGTATGCTTGCAGGAGGAAGCTTGCGCACATTACTTTTCAAACCTTGAGGATTGGAGCCGATCAAGCTTCATAGAGATCCCCGAATAGCTTGTCAGTTTTACCTGAACTGCCCCTCAAGTTCAATATGGTTCACTTATAGGAGTGAAAAATGGAAATGAAATTGCTTGTTCGCGCCTCGATCAATCCCCATCGGGAAGTGCGAGTGAAATGTGATAATGAATTGACGAAGAGAGATATACAGTAAACCAAAGAAAAATCGCACAATCCAACTATGGACGCTATCGACGAACAAAAGACTCTTAAGAATTGGCAGAATGACGACACTCTAGACGCCAATTTTATTCCTCTCTAACCCCGCCAAACGCCTTGCTATACCTACAATCCTAATGACGTGTATTCATACAACACAGGAGTTGCATAGTATTCACTGGTGTCTCCAGCAACTGAGTAGTCGATTCCACCCAAACGTGTACAGTCCGTCCCATCAAGCCTAGATTCTCAATTCGAGGAACCAGTGCCATCTCCAAGCAGCCTTGCAATGAGGACATACGTGAATATGACACCCCCAATGACCAGTAACTTGTTTCTCCGAATCCAACTTCGGCCTTCTTCTCCAACAGCTCGACCGCCTTCAACGACCGCTCCCACCACTGCTTGGCTGCCACTTGGTCTCCTCAAACCACCGATTGTAGGTCCGCAATTTGGTCCAGATGTACTAGGATCCTGGATTGTATTCCCAGTCACGGTATCAATCCTGTTATCCTTCATATATTTCCAGTTCTCTTTATCCAATTCCGGCCACTCTGCCCTGAATTTTGCACCTCCGTCACCAGCCTTGATATTTCCCTTTTGCTTTGTCTTTCCATCGCTGAAGCTTCCACCGCCAGTGCTGTTCCACCACCGACTTCGTGCCGCTGCCCATTTCCGCTCTGCTTCGGTTGCACCCACTGAACCGGTTGTCATCTCCTCCGAAGTCATGAAAGACAAAAGCCCGATGAGAATTGTCGATACTTCCCAGGCCGGGTTGAATGACTTAGGGTGGAAGTCGGAGATGGACAGACAAAGGCGGGTGGAGGGTTGGAAGCGACCAGAAGGGGTGTGCATTCGGATTGCGGGAGGAGCGAAAGGGTAGTTGGGAGGGAATATCAAAGTCCCCCAGTATTGCCCATTGTGGTAGGGTGTGTCGGGAGGTCCAGTCAGGATGTAGTGCCACCTGCAGATAAGTCAGTTGATGTGCCAGAAGAGATGGAGGGGTAGAACATACTCAAGGATGTTGGATTCGGAGGGGTGGGCGACGATATAAGGGGGAGGGTTCTCGGAGATAGTTTTGTATTCGCGGGTGAGCTTCTACGGTTAGCAGGTATACTGCGGAAGGGGATCGGACCTGTACATACCCGCTTGTTGGCTGCTCGACTTGCCATGTTTGAAGGGAGGGCCAAGGCTGAGATGACTACAGATGCGTTCGACGTCGAATGCTGATCGTAGTCGGAAGCGGAAAGGTTGCAGTGGTATGATACGTAGCAGTCTACGATCTCAAAGCGTTTGAATGAGAGAAAGGGATGAAAAAGGTTGAGGTTGAGGTTGTGTTGGAGAGGTTGTGGTGATCGTGTGCTGAAGGTGATTTGGAACAGAAAGGCTGAGCCGGAGATCGCTTATGTCAGCAATTATTATTTGGACTAGATGCAGGAACAACTGCGAATCACGAAGCTCGACGACGAGGTCAAGATGGCCGAAGGAGTGGATACTGGGGACGATGTGAGCTCTGAGTTGTTCTTTGTCGTCTATTGTATAATTCCATAAAGCTTGACTGACCCATTTGCAGCTCTTTGAGAGTCTGCGTAAACAAGTCGATCCTAAGAAGCTCGAGGAGAAAGCAAAAGCGCAAGCTGAACGAGAAGCTGCTCAAAGTGCCAAAGCAGCTCAGAGACTGGGAGAATTGGTATGCGACTCCATATGGTATTGATGGCAGATGCTCATGAGTAATAGATTGGCAGCAATTCCAGCCTCCCAGTCACCATCTCCTCAATCCGACTCATTGGTGCATCACATACAAGGAGATCCTTCCTTGACCGAATATTCGACCCTATCCTCACCGCAAATAGAGACAAGGCCTATACATTACAAGAAGCTTTGCAAGAGGTTGGCAGTGCTACAGATAAGTTGCGGCGCTTTGGTAAACTTTGCCAGCTCCAGACTCGAAACATAGCTCTCTGACTGCTGCAGAAATATATCACCCAAGTCTTTCCACTTTTGTCGATCGTCCAGACCCTACGGATCCGAATTCGTCTCCCACCGATATTGATGTGTATATACAAGCAAGGGAACGAGGTCGGATATCCTTGAAGACAGGCACAGATTTGGGCAATGTCGAAGGTTCCGCATATGGAAACCTTACCTGGCGAAATATACTTGGCGGTGCAGAGTCGTTGAACTTGAATGCCTCTGCGGGAACACGGACGAGATCTGCCTATCAAGCTACATTCGATACACCAATTCTTAGCGATCCTGACAAGAGGGCGACAGTGGATGTGTTGGCAAGCAGTACATTGAAGCCATGGTCAAGTCATGAAGAAGTATTGAAAGGAGCGGGAGCGAAGTATAGCTGGGCTACGAAATCAGGAACGAGGCATCAAGTTGGATACACAGGAATGTGGAGACAGGTTACAGGCTTGGCTGCCAATGCTTCGCCGACAGTACGAACAGACGCTGGTGATTCAGTCAAGAGTAGTATAATTCATACGTGGTTTGCAGATCGACGAGATCATCCATTCCTTCCAACAAGAGGATACTATATGAAGACTGTTTCGGAGATCGCAGGATGGGGACCATTACAGGGCGATGTTGCATTTTGGAAATCAGAGCTCGAAACCTCAGCTGCTATTCCAATACCTATACTCGGGATAAAAGGTGACAGTGGAGTCTCCTTGACAGGTGGTATACGAGGTGGCATGTTATACCCTTTGGCCATCGGATTTGGATCCGAAATCAAACCAAGTAGAATCAACGATCGTTTCCAGCTTGGTGGTCCGACAGATGTCCGTGGATTTAAGATGTCAGGTCTAGGACCAAGGGATGGTCCGGATGCTGTCGGTGGCGATATATATGCAGCTGCTTCTGCGAACCTGCTCATGCCCTTTCCAAGAGTTGGCAAGGACACGCCATTGAGGTTACAATTGTTTGCGAATGCAGGACGATTGCTTGCCCTACAAGATGGGAAGAAGAGTACAAGTCAAAGTTTTTACAGCACGGCTGCACAGATCGGAGATGGGCTGCCTAGCATAGCGGCTGGCTTTGGTGTTGTCTATGCCCATCCTGTAGCACGGTTTGAGCTGAATTTCAGTTTACCACTTGCATTAAGAAAAGGAGAGGAAGGCAGGAAAGGACTCCAATTTGGTGTTGGTATTAACTTCCTGTGACAAGGAACGAGTAAGAGGATAAACGTGGCAAGCAGGCGTGTATGCATATCATGTACACTACAACTGTATGATTCGCAGGTGTTGGAAGGGAAGGGTGAGATACCAAAAGAACAACGCAACTTAGAATCCCAACCACTTGATTCTTCTGTGCTGGTACTACTGTAACCATCAAGGTGCTGTATCTACCACTGCCGGTTTCGCATTCAGCCAGATGATAAATTGGGTTACAGTACTCACCGCTTGTTCAGAGGCAGACAACAAGGTGTGTCTTTGCGTCTGAGTGAGGTATTTTATCTACATATGCTGTACAAAAGTATGCCTCTCCCGCAAGAAATGATTGTCTTGAATGGGGTGACCTTTCGATCTCGGGATCCTCGTGTATGCGCTCAAGTGAGCTATTTTGAGTTTGAAATTGTTTTGATCTTGTTGTCCGACTTGTAATCAAATCTTGAAGGATAGTGTAGTATTCTGACATTATGTTCGAGTCGTTGTCTCCAGCCAGAAGAAACTTTCTTTCTCATCAAAGATATTAATTTCAAGTCTATCGGGTCCCAGTGGATGTCTCTCGTAGTGAGAGTGAAGACATCAAGGACTTGCTTAGCAGAGGGTTGAATTTCATGGATGTAGATAACTCTCGAGTGGTGCTACGTCTGTAGGACGGACATCGTTGTTCTCGTTGAGAGTCAAGTGGCTTTTAATGAGCCTTCTTAAGTGAATTTCATGGCCACAATACGAGGCATGGTACAATGTATTAATACTCAACCTGGGTGGTGACGAAATCACAGAACGGAATGGCGTGCTCAGGTCATTCTACAAGAGCGGTGAGCTTGCCTGGGAAGATTATAAAGAGCTTGTTCCCAAGTATCCCCGAGGCACATTCACATTGGGAAGCGAGGTAGGTATGCATCATGATGATTGAAGTATATTCAAGAATTCCAACTAACGAACTCGCAGGTAATAGTCAAAGAGAGTCCACCTGCATCCCTTCAAATCATCAAAGACTCCGATCCAATGCAATGTCTCGATCCTCCTTCGCAAGTCAACCTATCCCTGACGTTGTCTAGACCTCGACTTCAAGCATCGACCGAGTGAGGGTAAAGGTAGCTTCGACCAGCTTGGTTGGATGAAAGTTGACGAGGTCATTTAATGCTACAGCAGTCAGTACGGATGGACATGATGGAAGGGTAGAGGGAACATACAGAGCAGCAGGAGCATCCACTGCAGTCAGTCTTGCAGCCACAGCTGGAGCAGGAGCAGTCACCGTTCATGTTGTCGGTTGGTATGTTATTCGAAAGACTTGTGTTGTACGATTTCAATTTGGGGTTTCTTGAGGCTGAAGCTTGCTGATTTCTATGATAGAAGAAAGAGCAGGATGGACAAACAGCAAGAGCGATATACTTATACCTATCACTCCAGCTATCGAGCTCTCTTGGAACACCTTCACATGTGATGGCAACATACGCTGTGCGACCCACCGGCATCAACACACAGCTTCGAAGTTCACATCTACCAAATCAGCTTCCTATTGCTGACCGAAAGAAACAATGGATCCAACATTTCGACGCCTAACATTACACTACAGTGTCACGAGCAAGACAATCATCCCACTCTCGAACTCGGCGCATTTATGCCGCTGGCGAAAGTACCGCGACAAACCACTCTGTCAGGATGTGAAGAATAGAGTTCAAGCACGGAAGACGCGGTTTCTTGGCTGAGGGTTCTGGAAGATGGTGGTCGAGATGGGTAGCTCTGGTTGGTATATTGTGACAAAGAAGGACTCGAGACCCACAAGTAGATCATTGGATGATGGGAAGAAGCTAGTTATTCTGGGATCTCCCCTTTGAGTACTTTGTGCTGTTCCACTTCAAGGTGGGGAACTGAGACGAGACAAGATGGAGCGATAAGATGGTGGCAAATCAGGAAAGGAGGGGCAAGGCAAATGTCACTCATGGACTGAACATGAACTGTGCCTCAGTGAGATGAATGGACTGCTGCATTCTCTTTCACAGAAGGAGAAGGAGTGAAGCTGATGAGACGTGGCAATGTGTCAATGGCGTGGGGTGAGAGCGGGCGAAGGTTGGACGGCGTAATGCAATAGGTGCTGCTTCGGAGGTTCGATGCATGAAATGCTGTGAGGAAGGGAAGGGCCGCGACAAGCGAGGAAAGGCGGAGGTCAAGCAAGTACGGAAGATCCTCCCAAGTTAAGTGGCGTAGAAAGCTGGGTAGTACGGACTTGGTACTACTTGACTATCTTCGTTGAAGTCGGGCGATGGTAAGCACGTTTTTGTGTCACAATAGAACAAAGGGCCGAGGGCACAAGCTTCAAGTCAGCAGCGGAAGAAGTGTCGCAGAATCAAAGTCTTTTTTTTACTCATTCCATATGCGCAAGTTTGATAATGCACCGCAACCCATTCCTTAACGAGACAAAGCTTCCCCTTGGTATCATATCATATCAGGCCCTTTCCATTGTATCCCAAGCCCATCCCTAAGCCCCAAACATGAACGTGAATTGTGTGTGTGCGTGCGTCGAAAGAGGACCGCAAAGCCGTGTTTGAATTCAGAATCGAAGGCGTAACGAAGGAGATGGTATGTGTTCGTGGAGAGAGTGACTTATTTTCCGCAGCTGGAGCAAGAGCAGTCAGAGCCGCAGTTGCCTGTTGAAAGTCACTGTTAGTATATATTCAAAGGTGGGGTGAGAGGTAGGTAAGGCTTAACATACAGCTTGAGGAACCGGAGCATCCGCATTCGCCCTTCATTTTGATGGTTGGATAGGTAGTTGGAAGAAGGTTGTTGAGTGTTCTTGGTATTGTGTTGTTGGTTGTCTTGATGTTTCTCGTTGCTTGTGTTGTAAAGAAGAAGCGTAAGTTGGAGGGGACGAGCGGTCTTTTTATGCTACTTTGCTCAGTCCCTCAATTATTCACTGATCTGACCCAGATCTCCATCAGCCCACTTTTATGGGTGAATCAGCCAATCACTTTACTTTGAGTTTGCGTGCCTTGTGCGGTGGCTGCGAGGTTTGTGCGGTGCCGCTTGCGTCCTTTGTGCGTTGTTGGTCATAATTGGTCCAGCTCCCTACTGGATGCGGTCTTGCGCTTTTTCTGCGTCGTCGGGCAACAAGGCAACCAGGCAATAAGGCAGAACTCATAGTCGCGGGATCCACACGAGGGGCAATTAGAGGGGTCAGAACTCCGTTCATTGGATCGGCAGAGAAAAATGGGGGTGTTACAGGAATGTGGGGCTCAGCCACTAGCCCTGGTGGCCCAATAATGGTAGGCCTTAGGTAGAAAAGGGGATCCTTCTCGGCTTCTCGGCTAAATCCTCTGTGGTCTTAAAAAGAGTTTATATATATTTTGCTTCATTGGCTTCATGCCTTCAAAAGACACGAAGACGAGGCTAACATGACTCTCGTCTTTTCCTTATGAGATTTGAACGACAGTTCGATTTGATCGAGACAATGAAGTCTTTGTTCTCGAGAGACACGGATTCTTGGCATTACGTTGTTTGAGAGTTTGACATGTTCCACTTCTGCACGCAATCAAGCTCAGAGCGTCCATCTCGATCGGACAGGCCGCCCTCTATAGACCACCAGCGTGGGAATGCTTGTTTATGGAAAAGACGCTTTGCTTGATTCGTGGATGCCGCGTTATCAGATCACACTTCTCCGCGCCAGCAAGTCATTCTGACCAATGGAAATCTGCTCAATTTAGCAACATCTCACAGAATACACGAATAATCCACTCAAAATCCGCTCCAATTTGAGCACATATGCAGAGAATGAAGGGTATATGAATGGCTCTTCCTCTTCCTCCTGGTCGTCTTTGAGAGCTTTTGACTTGTTCAGTTGCAATAGGAGTTGCTTCTTATGGGGGTATCAATACGGACTTTTGGGCACATGGACTTGGACATCCGGAAAGTGTGTGGGACCGGGACGCCTGATACTTGATCGGCGCGGCTGGACCGGCATTGCTGCATCTGGGATGCCATTGCCAATCGAGGTTGATTGGAAGAGGTGTGTCTGGATCTTGGGTTGTCCTTCCGGTGCCACTCGAGTGGCTTTTTCTCCTTGAATGGTCATCCTTGGAAATCAATCTTCACCGCATGTCTGACCTCATCTTGATGTTGATCGAAAATGGTGAAGCGGGTGAGTCTGTGTGTGTTCAATATTTGGCTGAAGATACGTATAGCTTAGGTTGTGCTTGGATATGACAATGCATGGCCTTCTCTGGCTCTCCATCTGCTCGGTATTCACATTCGATTTTCAGCTCGATGAGGCCTAATCATGTGATGACATTTTTTCTTCGGCAAATGGTGTTGTCCAGAGCTTACCATAGCAAGGCTTTCCTCTTTTCTTCATCGCATTACAACTAATTAAACCGTTGCAAGTGGACCTTTGTCATTTGATCACAATGCTCAAGTTTGTAGTATTTGTCGGCGCCGCCGTAGATTTAAGTTGCCAAGCTTACGTGTACTTGACCCACGTATGAGGAGCAGGCGTCGTTGTAATAGTGTCTTTGGAGTTGTTAGGTTGCGGATACTGCTATTGCTGAGGCTAGGAAGGAGAGGAGGGAAGCGGTGGTGAAGGGCATGGTGGGTGAGGATTGGGCTTTCTCAATGCTCTCGGGTGTGACCTTTGTCTTCATTCTATGCATAGAGAGCGTCCTTCTGAATGTTGCCAAGTGCTTCTCTGTTGGGACTAGTGCCAGCATGTCGAATACCATCAGGACCGACTCCTTTGTCGCCCCACCAGAAGATACCCTTCTCATTCACAGTCCAATCATCGATAAGGTTGGTCAAAGTCTGATAATGGCCATAAGCTGTGGGTTGTGGACCACGAGGTCTTCGAAATGCAATGAATATCATGCAAGCAGCAAGTGCCATACTGATGATGACGTATATAAACAATCTTGGGTATAACATAAAGAAAATGTATCGATAGGTATTCTCGGACTCAGACACTCCATGCACATCGGAATCTGTCACTACTAGTTCATAAATCCTAAGCACCACTGTTTGGCCCAACATCCAGTGCAGCACAGGCTTAAACGCGAATAGTAACATGTTCTGCCAACTCGTGGCTGCTGATATGAACGCGTTGTTGTAGCTTCGACGACTACTTTTCGCTCGGTCAACCTCTTTCCAAGTACTTTCATCTCTTGACAGATTAATGACTAACTCAGCGGCATTGATACCCAACGTTTGAAGACCTTGTACAGCGCATAGGAACAAAATTCCAATGATCAAGCTACCAATCCAAGGTTCAGATACAGAATTTACAATAAGGTAAGTCCCTTGCGCTTTTTCTGGGAATTCTGGATCTGGCTCTGCGCTGCATGCGAGAGAAAACGACCATGGTTGATACCCGACTGACTCGAACCAGCTGACGACAACTAGAATGATGAAAAATATCACCATAAGTAAAGACCAGATCCACAGGAGTGAGATGATATACCGCAACGAGGGGACTGCGTTCCTGGCATTTAGGCCTCTGGCCAATGGTTTGGTAGGATGTGGTGGAAGAGGAGTTTTATCAACTGATAACATGCATCTTTCTTCCTCTCTAGTGAGACCATGATGAGTAAGTACCAATGCGTTGTTGAGAGCGTTCGAGCTCCATGTTGGAATATGTTTTGATCCCGATGCCATGATCCAAGTAGCTATACTCGCCTTGCCAAATATACCTAATGCCAATGTGAGAATAGCAACTCCGTTGACGGCAACCACGTTCTGAGGACCAATCCCGGGTTTCTCTTGTGCGTCACGAAGAAAAAGCTGCGACGATGCTGCGTAGCAGAGAATAAGCGAAATGATAGAAATCAGATTTGCAGGCCATCGATTTGGAGCATATTTGCGTGTGCTGGTGAACAACCTAAGATTGGTATTGAATTGTAATCGGCCTTCTCTAAAAAGCGCCCATCGGAGGGATGTTGCATGAATATACCCCAAAGAATCAGTAGCAAGAGCGACGAAAACGTTTGTCATGAACGAGAGGGCCTCGCCGCTAGTGGTCGATAGCCCTGTGATGTAGAGACGGCGGGCCGGTTGTTTTATCACTATCCCCGTGATATCTGTCCAGGGGCTATTTGTCTGCTTGATAAGACATAGTGTACCAAGGACGATGCAGGCAATGCAAACTAGCCACGCAAATACAAGTCCTATGAGGCATAGTAGTCTTGTTGTTTGGCCGCGGTCGTAGTCTGCAAGATCTGGTGTTGGCTCAATCCCCTTCAATATCATTCCTACAGATTCTTCTACAGTCGAAAGATTGCAGGCCGTCGAGCATAAAGATTCTTCCGACTGCTGCCGTGATCCATATTCATCCTGAAGCGGAACCTCCACACGTTCTGGCTGCTTCTGTAGTCCATCTTGACGCTGGCGTAAGCTGTCGGCAGACGTTGCATCGAGCGAGTTTGAAGCTTCCGAGTCCGAGATATCGAAGATCTGTGACACGGGTGGATTCTCAATCAAAAACCTTGATTTATTCAAGCAGATGGCTTCCTCTGAATGCTGTAGTTCATCTTGATGCAGGCCTGGTGTCTTGGTAGACGTCTGCTGAATGTGAGGCGATACTTCTGCATCCTCGGATTGATGTTGTGATCCATCTTGATGCTGACTCTGAGCTTTTGCACACTTGATATCTTTGAGACTCAAATCTTCTGCATCCATCATAAGAAGGAGCCCAAGCTTAAGACACGAAATTCTGATTGAAGAGGACGGAGACTAGAATACAAACAGAACTAAACAAAATTGACTTGCGCTCGAGAGAGTGACTGGTCCTTGCCTAGCTGCAGCTGTCCGTGGGACAAGTCGCATAGCCCCAATGTATCTCCTTATGGATGTCTGACGAAATACTTACGAGTTTAGCAGCTTATGTGAATAATACGAATGTGCTGACATCGTTTCTTCTTAGCCTGAATGAAAGGGATATTGGTAACGAGGAAGTTGTGGCTGAGTCCAGCTGCTTGGTAAGAAATCCCGTGATCTTGTACTACAACTACTGGGTCGGAGGCAGAAGGATAATGAAGATGCATCCACAGGTAATGATTGAGCGAGTCGAGCTGAGATGTTTCAAACCATTGAAGCAGGCTTCCAGGTTGATGATGTTCCAGACATGGTTGCCGGTCACGTGCCTGATATCCCTCCAAATAGGCCAGCATACTGACTGCTGCGCATTTCCTGTCGAATATGAGGATAAACTGTCACAGCTCAATAGTCTTGAGTCACTCCAACATCAAAGTTCTGACTTAGCTTATTGTACACTTGATCTCCAAGTTATCGATCACTAATTGAGCCCGCAAGTTTCTAGCAGCCGCCGTCAATTCCCTATCCTTCATTCAATCGTACCAAATCGCATTTGCACAGCACCCACCATCCTTGATATCAACCTGCGCCACCATATTCGCACTCGTCCAACCATCTCTACCCTGCACCATGCCTGGTGCTACGTCAGTTCCCTTCACCAACTGCCAAATCTGCACATAACCCCTCGGCACATCTGTCAGGGCCATAAACTCGTCACTCCAACTCGCTGGACTGACCGCATTCGCAATCCCTCCTGTGGTGGTAGTAGGCAGCCTGAAAATCTGGTCGGTAATGTTGCCACCTAGGTCAAGATTGAAACAAGAAATGAAGCCCGTGTTGTTACTGTCTTGCATGGCTCGAGCTGTGGCCCAAAGGAGTTTGGTGCTTGGGGATATCATCACTTCCGCAGACCAGTAGTCCTTGAGTGCGTTTCCTATTTCCTTGTCAGAGATAACTCAATATCAGTACCGTGATATACATACGATTAGGAATCAACGAATAAGTACCAACATCGGTCTCAATGATCCCTGTAGTACTATTCACAGAATATGCCACAACCTCATTCCCAGCCTCCATCACAACGTAAACATAATTCCCATTAGGATGCGCGGCAATATGGCGAGGATGCATACCAGCTTCGGGCATGGGATACGAAGCAACTGCCTCCACGGTTCCGTTGGAGTTAACTTTGTGAGTCCATAACACATCGCCGCTCAGATCTGCGGAATATAGGTTTCGTCCAAATGTCATGCCATGAATAGCTGATTTGGAACCATATTTCCATGACTGTGACACATTCGAAAGGGTTCCGTCGGGTAAGGTGGAAATTGCCATCCCGCATGCGTTGGGCCCTGGCCATGAGCCCGTATAGACGGAGTAGGGAGACGAATGGCTTGGGAGCACGAAGGCGGAGGTTCTCTTGCCCGGGCAGTCCTCTGTGGCGTTAATGACATTTTCCAGTTGGAGAGTAAGATTATTGTTGATTGAGTAGCTTGCAATCCTTGGTGCTTTGAGTGAAGCGCCGTATATATTGTTTTTCAAATGCTGGATAATCGTCAGCCAGGATTTGGGAAGAGAGATTCTCTATATACATCAAACGCAATCCATGCATGGCTGCTATCCGCAGTGAAAGTGTTTGTTCGGAGTAAGGTCAAAGCTTCATCGTCAAACTCAAGTAGGTTGATTGATGCTGGCAAATTGAGATTTCCAACGAAGAGGTGATGAAGAGAAGCCGATGCTACAGAAATCAGATGCGCTGCCAAAAGCAAAATCGATAGAATTGAAGCCATTTGAAGAACACGAGAGTGAACAAAAGAAGAGAAAGGAAAAGTGGATTAAGATGAAGCTCCATCCCGGAATCGTGGTTGCACAACCCCGAGATCATCTTTCCAACAAGTTTACCCGCAAACAAGCTTTAAATGCCGGGATAGGTCGAGGGAAGAAACCCGGATAGGATAAACTATCCCTAGATGAAAACGCGGGGATCTGCTTTCCTAACTATATTGAGGATGACACGATCCTTGATTGCGCCTATCACAGTGTTTGAAGCTCGTGCAGATAAGTCTGCCAGATCGGATGCATTGCTACCACACATTTTGAGGCTCTGTACCCCAAAATAGAAATTGACAACGATCAGATACGCCGAATGAAGAGGAGGCACTTTCTCTCCATCCAGCAAGCATAAAGATCGCTATTTATCGCCTGTCTTCCCTCCTCGCAATTCCCTTCTGAAGAATGTCGCATCGCATCGGCTCCCATCTGGCCAACTCGCATAGTCTTTACAAGTCCCCCATTCCTCCCAACCAAGTCGTTTATACATTTCTTTCGCTGGGCTCAATGTCGCCGTGTCCAGCGTGAGGAATTCCTTTCCCTCTGCCCTGGTAAAGTCTTCGACGTAATCCATGAGTCGTCTTGCGATTCCTTGTCGGCGGGCTTGGGGTGATACGAGAAGTTTGATGACTTCAGCGCGATGCAGGTGTGTGACTTTGGGTACTATGACGAGCTGTACTGTGGCGATGATTGTCGATGGTGCTGAAGATTTGGTGAGGATGAATAGATGGAGATTCCCGGTCATGATGAGTTGAGATACCTGGGTCCAATAGGTCGAGGCCTCATCCAGTGATAGAGGCGCAAGAAAGCCGATCGAGGAGCCCTCATTGACACAGTCTTGAAGAATCTCACAGAGTTGAGCCTTGCGTGAAAGAACTTCTTCCGTTCGAGTGAGTCGGAGAATTGTGAACTCAGATGGCTGCGTCGTCGACTCCGCCGGCCGGTCAAGGACAGTCTCCTCTATTTCCTTCGATGTTGACATGATGCGAAAGTTGAAGTCGCGGATGTTGTTAAGACGTGTAACTTTTGTGCCGATCACGTGTGGAACTTAAATGGTGAGTCACTCTTGGCTTGAGATGGCAGAGATGCCTGAGAAGGAAGACTTTCATATCCCACTCTTGAAATGAGGCTGAACAACAAGGTGTTGAAATTATTGAGGCAAGACTTGAACACTGTCCCACACCCATCGGATCTCTCTGGCCACCACTGCTGGTTGAACGAGTTGTACATTGTGTCCAGAATTATCAACTCGAATGAAACGGCTGTTGCAAGACAATCTCAGCAAATCTTGCTGCCAGTCAGTTTGCCGTTGATTATGATCGACAAGCATATTTCGAAACTGTTCACGTTCTGCTTCCGTCCCCTTTCCAGCAGCTACCCCAGATTCATACATCCGCTGCATATCTCTTGCACTGTTGCATGTAATGACACTGACTGGATGACTTCCCAGTACCTGCCTCTCAATCTGGTGCTTTGATGCAAGTGGAGCAGAATCACTTCTGAATCCCCTTTGCTCGGCAACTACAGTCTTCTGCAGTTGAGGATCGTTTTCTGCTTCCTTCACTTGAGCCCATTCTTTATCGGACAGAACGTGATCAGCTTCGAGTCCAGTCGACTCCAACCAATCTACGCCGTCAGTGACAGCAATCACAAATGGCAATGGCCAATTCCCTGCGTCGTATGACTTCTCTGTATTGGCATCGACGAAGACTATGCCTACAACATCCTTTTGACGAAGATGGAGAAATTCTCTTGCCGTCATCCCTCCCCAGGAGTGACAGACCACGATGAACGGAGGTTCGATGCCAGCATTCTTCAAAAGGGTATCCAACTCGGATGCGACGGATGCTGCACTGATGGAATCTGGTTGTTGAGGTGGAGCTTCGCTGCGTCCCAGGCCAGAGCGGTCATAATTCACCCATCGTGCAAGTGGAAGGACGAGACGTCGGACGGCTACCCATTCGTTAATCGTACTACCCAGGCCTTGCATCAAGAGAATGACGGGTTCTCCTGATTTGCGATCTGGTCCAGAGGCTGAGAGGAATAGTTTGTGAGTGCCAATTGAGAGCATGGCTGACTTGTCCCCTGTGTTCCAATCGGTGACGGACATGTTGAGCGGGAACTCGTGACGAATAGTAGGTTTGATGGTATACTTGCACTCAGCGTTCGGATCGTGGATTGGAGGTTACAGGTATTTGACGAAGCCTAGCCCAGCGGCAGCTTACCTAAAGCCCGCTTAGTCCAGGCGCCCGCCAAAATGAGTGCAGGCCATTTTAGGGGCTCGGGCGCTAATTCTGCGGCCTGAAGAACGGATGAGTGCCTGGCAAGTCATCTTGTCTCGTTCTCTTGTAAAGCACATCTGAATCAACTCTTTTCACTCACGAAGCCGTGTCACATTGGCTTCCTGTTGGGTCCGGCGGAGTTGATGTCCCAGCGAATACTTTTTTCAAATCGCAGTCTCTTTCTTCGCTGCCGTTTCCCCTTCGATTCCATCTTGCAATTGCAATTGACGGTTTTTCTCTTGCTTGTCATTTTTGCTCTCGATCGTCTACTAGTCAAGATACCGGCAGTCACCCTGCCCGACTGCAGGATGAAATTGTCAAGATGCGTTAGTGAGCACATCGCAACATAGGCTATGATCATAGCTGGACACCGCTCGCCGGATCTTTAGGGTTGGGTCGGCTTCCGCTTCTGCTATGCTTTAATCAAAGTGCGAACAGAGATGAAGTATTCTCCCTTATGTACAACATTGGCAATAATCTCCTATGTACACGCATCCCATCATGTTTATTTCATGCCGCACAAACACACTGTGAGTAGTCCGACACAGCTGCGCTCGGACAAGCTACCTCCTCGAAATTCACCACCACATTGTCACCAAATACCTCGCTCTCAGCATTGATATCGAAGTGATAACTGTACCCGTATTCGTTCGTTCCTCCCACAGCCGGACACCATTGGGCATTCCCATTATTCGGACAGAGATTCGTCACCATGACAATGATGCTTTGTCCAGCATCACCGCCTGTGCCGCAGTCCTGGCATGGTGAAGAGCCGGTCGAGGTCAGATTGTAGCATGTGCCGCAGCCAGCCCCACACCAAGTTGCACCAGACGAAGAGTATATTGCTTGAGATGCCGCCGCTGTGTAGACACCACTGGCTACGCCGAGCTAGAGGATGTCAGTATAGGTCGAGTATTTTGCAGATACAGTGCCACAGACCTGCCAGCTGAAAGCACCGCTGCTCGTCCCGCATCCACATGCTCCTTCTAGTCCATCATAGTATCTCTGTTAATACAAATTAGTGGGTTCTCTGATGTGTTGGAGGAGAACATACTGTCGTTGTCGCTTGGCCGCTGATGGCAACGATAGGAGTGATCGCAGTAGCTAGGAGTGCGAGGAGAGTTGAGGACTTCATGATTGCCACTGCTTTTTAGAGTACTTCAGCTCGTACCTCTTTACATGTTGGCGGAGAGGGCCATATATACAACCACGCTGCACCATCGTGCTAGAGGCAAGGCGTGTTTAGTTTCCCTAGTTCCTAGGAAAGTAGATTACAAGTACCGGCGCGAATTTCCAGGTTCCGGGTTTGTTGGGCTAGCAAACATCGACAGCCAATACAAAGGGTTAAAAGTCTCCTTCAGGTCAGGTCCTCTGATACTTTTTGGCCCCTGCTCGGCAGACTATCCCGATCGTGAAACACGTTCAGGGGTACACTTGGGATGACAACCCCAGAAAGCAATTTAGATTCCGCAGCTCGGTGCCGCCGGTCCGATATTTCCTGGTTGGTGGAAACGCCGGACTGCAGTCGGACGTTACATTGATATTGAATAATTACATAAAAGAACGAGGCTTCCGAAATCATCGAGCATCACACGCGTCATAGGAACAACCGACTGGGGACCACGGCTCTTAACGAAGCTTAGCGACGGCAAACAGGCTCCGAGATTTATGAGGATCATGAGACGAGGAAACAGGTGACAAGCTAGGATGAAAAGGTTAAGTCTCAGTAGACTTGAACGAGAAGGTTGAAATTTTCACAAGGACAAATCGACTTTATCCGGTGCTGGTGAGGGGCAACTTGAATAACCGAGCCCCTAATATTAGCGAGCTATCCCTCTAATTGCATATCCTTGACGAAAGAATCCTCTTTGCAGGTACCCAGTCGATAAATCGACCTCTCTCGTATGAGAACGTTAGGATACTCTCCTAAAGTCTGATATCATTCACTTTGTCAATGGGATTGGTTCAAGCAAAGTGCGGGGTCAAGTGCGGGGACCATCGTTGTTGGTTAGCCAATATTTATATACCTCCCCACTGACGTCTACTAGCAACGATGTTCCATCCTGTGGCAGTGTCTAGGGAGCAGGTTGTACATTCGCTGCTGCTAAACTCGCATCTAGGCTAGGCTTGTGATTGGTATACCCTCTCCCAATCCTGGGAAACGGCTTCGTCTTCACCTCATCCAACGCCCTCGCCATGAAAGCGCTCATCTCACTCTCTGCCCATTGCCTTGCTGCAGCTATTGGTTCTGCTCTCCACTTCTTCAATTCTTTACGACCCCTGAGAGGAAAGTTAATGCATGCATCCTTCAGATGTTTCCTTGAGGATGGTGCGATTTCGCCGGCTCCTGGCGGTAAAGAAACATTGGTATATATGAACCCTGCTTTTCGGTGAAGTCTTTAGTTGAATTGAGGTGGCCAGGGACGATCGTCCATTTCCAACAGGCGCTTCATATACGCCGTCTTGGCCGCACAGTCAGCTCCGTCTAGTAGCTTTCTTGCAGCAACGAAAAGCTCGTTCGACGTCGGGATAGGCCGAGGTGTAACTGGCCCACTTTGGTCGTCGGTATCGGAATCACAACCATCATTTGTTCCATCATCTGAGCTTTCGGACCTTGTATCGGGATCGCTCCTAGGATCGAGAGCCGAGCAGCGTTGATTGCTACCAAGAGCTTCCAAGATTTCGGTTTCTTGGTACTTGTCCAAGTTCTTCGGAACATCCAACTTTTTGATGCGCTTGAGCTGTGTCCTGGTCTTGACGGTGGGGTCCCATACAGGAGGCTCAAATCCCATTTGTTGTGGATCATCGTCAGGATCTGCAGTGTCCATAGGATCGAAATTTGGCGCCAGGAAAGGAGGAGGACGGTAGGATAGATCTGGTCTCGGCGGCGAGGAAGTCCTGCCACTACTCCTCGGAACCGACAAGTTACGATCTTTGTAATACTGATCGGCTTTCCGGCTGGTATCAAGAAGACTATAAGTATTTCCAGGCAGATCAAGTAAAGGATAGTGAAACTTGTTATTTGCTCCGAAGCCTCCATTTCGCAGCTCAGCCGTCATCCTTCGCCGTTTAAGTTTCGGCAGGTCCTCTTGGCTATAGCACAAGATATCATAGCCGAAAGCCAAACAGAAAGTGTTTGTGACGGTGAATACGCCACAATTATAGCTATCTGACTGCTGCGGAGCATCGGGACTGCCGTCGTCTGTTGCCGTGCGTTGCGACCATTGTCCGTATAGAGGCCAGGCGGTCTTCAGACTTGCACCGGGTAAACTTAATGTCTGGTTTATGATGATATCTCTCATTCCCTGGATAGGATCGTCCCAGTGATCAAAAGGACACGAATCGATCAGGAAGCAGAACTTCTGTTTCGGGGCGATGCCCATGAGCCAGAAATGGTTCATAGTGTCTTCGTAGTAAGGAATAAACAGATAGTCCAAATTGAGAAAATTGGCACCGTTACAGTCAATCTTGTCAAGAACTCGGCGAATTTCTGACTGTGTGGTTGCTGGGGCTGTCGGATTGCAAATTGCATCGTAATCAACTTGCGATATCATGGCGCAGCTTTGGCGTGTGTCCTCACTTTCATCCTCAGATTCCCCGCCTTCGTTGTCCGACCCTCTCCTAGGTTCGATGGGATCTCGGGCTCGATATCCAATTCTGTGATTGAACGAGACGGGACTGCGGCTGCGAGTTTTGCTTCGGGCCACGCCTGTGATGTCTAATGGACGGCCGCGAGGACGGACTCGAGCTCGTCTGAAGTTTACATATCGACATATACATTGTACGTAAGTCTGTACTGTCTGCACTGTGAGGCTGAAGTGACGATCCCCGGCTCTGAGGTTACGAACATGGGGACAAAAGTCCGTGCGTTCAGGCTGTAGAATCTCGAAATTAAAACTCTTCACATTAGGACTAAACTATCAACAACTCCACCATTATGGATCCTTTTACCACTCCACCTATGTCTCCACGTCTCCCAGGTGCAGAGATCAGAACCAAGCACAAAGAGGGCATACGCCGGCTCTTCAAATTCGCTAAAATAGGCCTGCAACAGCTCCAGGGCTACTACCACCTAGGAGACAGCACAGTTAGGAAGATCCTACTATACGATGTACCTGAAAGAGCGCGCCCTACACACACAGGGAGACCCAGAGAATCCCTCAATAAACAGGAGGTTAGAGATATTATTGAGTATATTTGCACC